CAGATCAGTGCAGTCAAGATTTACTGGTGTTTGGGTAGTCCTGAACGTGTTGTGATGCCCCCACCATCTCATTGGGTTTTCATTTGTGTTTAATTGTGTTTTTCTTCTGTTGTAGGCAGCTGGTTAAGCAGCCTTGGAGGCACCTGGGCTCAGGGTGTGGTGCTGCCTACAAAGCCTACTGTTTTTCTGCTTTCACTGGGTCTCTCCTGTGTGGTGGAGAGTCCTCACTGGCCATTTTCTGTTCACTAACTTGCTTTAGTAAATCCTTACTTTTGTTAAATAAATCAGTTGTTGAACCCCCACTCCTCTGTTTGGTCTCCTTTCTTATTACAGCCCACCACTTCCAGTCTGGGTTGTAACAATCTGCAGACAGATTTCTGAGTATCTCCTCCTTTACACAGATCCTCACTGAGCCATGTACTGTGAACAAATAGTTTCTCCATGATATTATCCAGCAAGGTCCCGTTTTTGTCAAAACAAGGGTGAGGTAATGAAAAAATAGAAATATTTCATTAAATTAACATTTAAATTATTTATATGCATCATTAAAATAAAAAAAAAACATGTTTTGAAATATATAAAGTGCACCAAACTTGACTCAGTCCATTCAACAATTCTAAATGGACAATTATGTAACTCATCAATTAATTATTTGAAAGGATAATTTGTCAATTAAATACTGAAAAAAATAAACAATTCATTAATGAGGCAAGAACTTTTCTCTCTCTGTCTCTCTCTCTGTCTCTCTCTCTCTCTCTCTCTCTCTCTCTCTCTCTCTCTCTCTCTCTCTCTCTCTGGAAGCCCCACTCTAAGGGAGTTTGCAGTGTATTAGTGAGTCATATATTGTACAACCACAGTCATAAAGTTTTCAATCAGTAGTTTTATTTCAGTATGTATTTTTCCAGTATCACAAAAAATGTAATTTTATATGGTTAAAACCATCTAGCTTATGTGCACTTTTTAAAACACTGCCCAGCAAACATTCGGACGTTTAATGATAGTTGAACGGTCACAACTGTAAAATACCTGAAATTAAGAAAAATTAACATGACATCTACTGCATTTTCCTTGCCCGGCCTCGAACCTGGATCCTCCAGGGCGAGAGTCACCCGCTCTTCCAACTGAGCTATGCCAGCGACTACTTGACTAGCAGACTTTTTTATATAGATAGGTAGAGGGTAAAGTGCGGGGTACACTAACCAATCAGAGGACAGAGAAGATCTGCCACAGGCCACGCCTCCAGAGTGCCAAAACCCTTACAGCCGAGCGAGCAGGAGTCAGAAACCGAGCGCGCAGAGAGGCTGCCGAGCGCGCACAGAGGCTGCCGCGCGCGCACGTTTTCCTCTGCCGTGTGCTCGTTGACCACGCGCGCACGCAGGTTTGTCACTTGTGCACATCCTTGTGCGCTCACAGACACAGTTAGCTCCCTCTCAGTGCACAAATGACCTCTCGCCATGTATATTTCCGCTCGCGAGTCCCGTTCACACGCGCGCTGTGGACCCAATGCGCGTGCACGGGTTTTGACAGGGGTATGACGCGATAGCTCCTTCCCTTTGTGCAGGCCTAAACGAAACCCTGTGCACTGCCCTGGCATGCCTATGGCGGTGACTCCCCTACACCCATGGGCCGGGCTGCCACCCTGAACCAGTCCGATGTCATTCCTGCATCAGGCACAGCACTGAGTGCCTCAAGGCCAAACGGCTGCTGGGAGAAGTGTACCTTTTTTTTAGGCCAGAGTTGAGAATGTCTCACATGACAGCAACCAGGAGCTGTCAGCTTTAGCAGGGTCATATCTCACCTAAAAGTCTCACATCATCTGCTCAAGAGGCACGATGGTTGGGTTCATAAAATCTCTCTCTCTCTCTCTCTCTCTCTCTCTCTCTCTCTCTCTCTCTCTCTCTCTCTCTCTCTCTCTCTCTCTCTCTCTCACACACACACACACACACACACACACACACACACACATGCACACACACACACAAGCACACATACGCACGCACACAAACACACACACACACACAAACACACGAGGATCTGAAGCAACACCCAGCTGTTGTTGTGTGTGTGTATGTGTGTGTGTTTATGTGTGTGTTTGTGTGTGTGTGTGTGTGTGTGTGCGTGTATGTGTGTGTATGTGTATGTGTGTGTGTTTATGTGTGTGTATGTGTGTGTATGTGTGTGTCTGTGTGTGTGTGTATGTGTGTGTTTGTGTGTGTGTGTGTGCGTGTATGTGTGTGTCTGTGTGTGCGTGTATGTGTGTGTGTGTGTTTGTGTGCTTGTGTGTGTGTGTGTGTGTGTGTGTGTGTGTGTGTGTGTGTGTGTGTGTATGTGTGCACGCATGCACATGTGTGTGTGTGTGTGAACCGCTCTGCTGAAGGTTGGATCGGTTTGAGGTCACCACCTCCACCGGTTTTTCCTGAAGATGTGCCTCCGGCTTTATCAGAGCGAGGAGAAAAATCAGCTCAACAGTTTAGAACGTTCTGCCTTTTTTCTTTTCTCTTTTCATTTGACTCTAGTGTCTCATCAAAGAGACCAACACCTTTGTGAGTGATCCTTTCACTCCACATACAGGATATTTGATTCATCAGGACAGACAGAAACCCGTGAGGTTGGTAATTAGCAGCCCCCCCTCCTTTCCAAATAGTGGGTGTGTCTTCATGTCTCAACACGGCGGGCTGTGGATGACAGGCAGCTGTACTTGCAGTTCTACCTGCCAGGTGAGACGTTGATAACGGCCAGTCCTCGCTCCCTAAACCTACAGTTCTCACTGTCAGGTGAGCCGAACACCTGAGTGCTCGTATGGGTGACCCAAACATCTGGACAGGTGAGCGGATTTACCTGTGAATGGCCTGTCTGTCGCTTTAAATGGAGCTGACCTGGCAGGGAGAACACCTGTTGCGGCTGGCCTCTGATTACCTACCTGCACACAGGTGAGTTTGAGCCTGAATAAATATTTGTGTGCTCTCCCAGATCATTTCAGTTCTGTTTATTTTGGTAGCAGCATGTAAGAAGACGAACACTTTACACTCCCACTCGTGCAAAACTTTAGTTGACTTTTTAACTTTTTCACAGGTTTGACTCGGTTCACAGCAGGTTCTGTTATCCGCACAGCTGGAAACTTTGCCTGGGAATTTCTGCGTTCCTAAAATTTCAGTCATTGTTTCTGGTTGTGTGTGTAACGTGCATCTCAGGATGGAGCAGAGGGATCATTTGGGTGAAATCTTCAGGATGAGGCCCAGCAGCCACATGGTAGTAGGCCTCATCCTATTTTCATTCACCTGAGCTGGCTGGATCGTCATGAGAAACATAATGCCACCAAGATTCTATCATGTCTGCTTGTGACACTTAAAATTTTAACACTAGGAGCCTGTTGTGTGGTGGAGATTTGAGTTTTCTGTAGTTCAGTTGGGTCATATTCCACAGGAGGGCATGGCAGTGGTGTTGTCACATGCACACAAACTTCCAGTATGTCAGGTATGTTGGTGAACCAGCTCCACTCACTCGTTCTCTAATGATGGGTGTAACTCTACTTTCTTCAGGTGTCAGTTTAATTAAAATGCTGTTGGAAGACCTGCCCTTCACAAGGAGGTAGCTGCATACAGAATAAACCCAGCAGGAAGTGAATGCAGGTGTTTCTCCCTAACAATGCTGTAAACTGGTGTCTGTAAATGTTTAATACAATAAACTTAACAGTTTTGCATGTTTTTAGAAAAAAAAAAACATCCAGAATGTTGTTTTTATTAAATCTGGCTTTGCATGGTAAACATGTAATTCAGGAATAAAACTTGCATTATCCCTAATTGAAACCACAAGTGAGATGATGACTTGTGGAGATTTTTAGACGGTTAATGTGTTACTAATTTATGTAAGAACATGAAAAATCAGGTCCATAACAATTTTATTACCTTCAGATCTAATCACTACTTTTCCTGGTTTCCACTTACAACCAGTCTTCTGACTTGGACAACTGCTCTAACTTTTAGACTTTCTATCCTAGTCTGCATTAATGTCAGAGAGAAACTGACAATCTAAACTGCATTAACTCAGACTGCATAAAGGGACGAGTGTGAGTAGTTGTTTAAACATGAGATGTCAACCTAAGCGGATAAAGATCAGTGCTTGATTTATACTGTCTGGATGCAACTTAGGAATGAATAGACAGCTTTGCTGTGGAAACGCCTGAAGGTAAAAGCTAAAGAAAAATGTTTGGATGCAACTATAGGATAATGGCTTTTATGATCATTAAAAGATTAGATTTGGAAGAATCAACGTTCTGACCACTATGGTGCATTTACACTGTTGAACCAGTGAGTGGTAGCATTTCAGGAAATTTACTGGACTTTAGGTGAAATACAGTTTGAAACTTTTGAGACTCATTCCATGCAAAACCAGATATTTCAAGCAGTTATTTGTAATTGTGATGATTCTGGTTTACAGCTTATGAAAAGTACACATTCTTAATCAGACTATTAGAATATTGTTAAAAGATTCAATATTCTAGACTGAAAGAGTCAAACTCTAATCAGCTAATGAATCCAGAACTACTGCAAAGGATTCCTGAACCTTTAGATGGTCTCGCAGTCTGAGTTAAACAGACTTTTGCACCAGATTCTCATTTTTCCAGTTTCACCTGCAACAGAGTGAGATTGTTTGTGTTCATGTCAAATCAGTGAAGTTTAGGACTGACAGGATTAGAAATATGCGTGTTACATCGAACAACAATTTTCTAAAACATCAAAGGCTGTAGCTTTCTAAGTCAGTGAAAAAGATTTTTCTAAAGAAAAAAGCCCAGCAACAATTGTCCTTCATTGTGAACATGTCTAGTTACATAAATAATCCATCCTTTGATTTTCAGACAGTTCATATTTAGGAATTTTGTTTAAAAAATCCTATATTTATTATCCAAACACAATAAATCAGTTTCATACCAAATATTTTAAGAGCTTCACCTTAAATCTCTGAAACCAACCCGTTTCACTGATAACAGTTCACTCAGGGGAGAAATGCTGATGCACTTTAATAGATTTTCAGGAGCTCCAAATGAAAAACTCATTTCATTTTCTGATACAGCAAATCTGATTCATTGCATACGAGCCCTAGATTACAGAATAAAAAACTTGGTACTTGATGTAGACAACACTCAAACCCTCCCTGATGCACAACATCCAACAAAATCAAACATCCATACAGACCCTCAGTTTGGACACTTATATGAAATAATCACTTCGTCCACCAGGCAGCGCTCTCCTCAAAGAACACTACAGGCTGCTACAGCCATGACTACACTTTTCTCATCTTCAGGTCCCTGATAAACAACATATGGCACACGTCTCAGTCAACAATTATTACGTTATGATTTAAATCTGCACGTCGTACAAACACTTCAGATCTGCGATAAAAAAAATACACCTGTCACATTTCTCCTTACAGAAAGGGAACTTTTCATTTTCAGCAACATTTCTTAATCATAAAAACTCAATCACAACCGAGTGTTCAAAAACTAAATGCCGTTACTTGTTCTAAACTCAAATATTTACATGTGCTTTTCGGGTTTCCTTCAACCTACTAATTAAAAAGCTAAAACTTTGGAGCCATAAAAATAAAAATAGGTCCCTTTTGGCAAAAATGAGAATTTTGACTTCATCCAGATCCACTTGTGCTGCGCCGAGTAAAGTTTGTCTTCTCTGCAGACAGGAAGTGACGCCTTCCTTCTGAGTTCGAGACAAAAACCCGGAAGTGACAGCGGGAGCGCTTGGGGAATGAGACTCTCGGGACAATGAAAGCAAAGGCGAAATAAGAGTCTGGAAATAAACACAAACGTCCCTTTGTGCACAGAGAAAACTAGAGCAGCACGTGACTTCAGGAGTGGAGATAATCAGTATTTTCCACTATGATAGCTGATAGCATGTTAGCATAAAAAAGGAAAATATTAAAACGTGTGGCCTTCAGCACATCTGACTCAGTTCAAAGAAACGTACATGCATTTCAGTTTCAGACTGTAAATATGAAGATATGATACAGTTAAGAGAAAAATCAGACTTTTTACAGCGATAGAATCTGAATTATTAAGTATTCTGTTCATTTACAGACGGTTACTGGCTGTTTGTGGCTTTAGCCCTTTCTGAACATGAAGCAGGAGTTGGATTATTCAGTAGATCTGAAATGCATGTACACTGTTGTACACTCAGTAAGCATGCACAAACAAACAAACAAACAAACAGTGCTTCGTTCGTATACAGCCATACCGCTTAGTATCAGGATAATGAGGCTACCAAGACAAGCCCCTCCCAATAAGCAGAAAAAGGAGCCTAAAGCCCGTTAATGTCCATCAGTGTCTAAGCTAGAGCTGCCAGCACCAAAACAAAAGGCAGGATTTTATTACTTATATTCTGGTTTCTGTGGCTATAGCGGACTACAGCAGAAGAAGCAAATCCCTTCAGAGTCACAGGCGTGGCACATAGAGAGGGCATACTCGTTGCCCTTGGCGATGGCACGATCTGCAGACGGCACAAATATCAGCACACGATCACCACAGAAGGTTTCAGGGACCAGTCCATGGATGGGCTCATGAGAGACTGGTCCTTTGGCTAGTGCTAACGTCAGGTCGAATTAAAGATAAAATAAATATTCACAATTTACAGCAAAAAAAAAAAAAAAAAAAAAAAAAAACCAAATAGGAGTGTTGCTCCAGCACTCGTGGATCCACTTCCTCAACTCTGGGTCAACTTGAGAGTTCACAAAAAAATCAATCCATTTCTAGAGCATTAGATTGTCCCAAAGGTTTTGGTCAACACAAAGAGATCAGCTGCAAGCTAGAAAATAAATTAATATAAAAAGGAAAAAAAAAAAAAAAAAAAAAAAGAGGAGGACTGACAGCGTGTCTGCACTTGGTTTGGAGCCCAAGTCACCGCTTGTGGTAGGCACCTGGAAAATAGGAAGAGGAACAAAGATGAGCGGCTTTAGCTCTTTATTCAGTAGAACCTAGAGTCTGGCTGATGCATTTACAGCAGTGGTGAGTTTGTAATATTCACCTTTGTAGGGGACTTCGTGTCTGGTGGAGGGGTGAGAGACACCAAGATGTTCTGGGTAGCCATAGCTGGGGTTTACATTCTCATAGTCATGATGAGGCTGAGGAGACCTGAGAAAAGGACATAAACAATTAAACTGAATAATAGCTTGTGTGTAAAGACGGACGCGTTTCTCTGAACCTGATTTACCTGGCAGAATTGTTGCCGTTTCGCTGCCTGTGATATTCGTACTCATCTCGAGTTCGGGGACGCACAACTTCCTCAGAGTTTGGCTGGAAAGCAACAAAAATGATGTTTTGAATGCATCATTACAAATGAGAGCAGCACGTTCGGTGAAGTTACCCTATAGTTCCCTTCTGGCCGTCTCCTATTCACCGCCATCCTCTCCATGGCCATCCTCTCTCGTTCCTTCTCCTTCTCCTTCTCCCGCTCTCGATTCTTTCGGTACTCTTTCTTGTCACGTTCCATCATGCGTCGGGCCAGTTCCTACGAAACGCCAAAACTAGCTCAATGACACGTTTTTAATCTTTATGTAGGTTAAATCCAGACATTTGTCCTAAGATGTAGTTTTATAAACCAAAGCAGGCAGAGTTGCTAGACTTGCCTCGTCCTTCGCCATCTGGGCTGCACGGGCCTGCAAGTTGATCGCCTGAAACAAACAAAACAATAAAAAACGTGTGGTTTTCCTCTGAGTTGCTTTTCTAAAATTATGCAGCGTAATTACAGCAGAATCAAGATTTGTCCTTTTTAAAAATGTTAAGAATTCAAGTCTCTCTCTCTCTCTCTCACACACACACACACACACACACACACACACACACACACACACACACACACACACACACACACACACACACACACACACACACACACACACACACACACACACACACACACACACACACACACACACACACACACACACACACACACACACACCAGAACAGCAGTTTAATAAAGTAAAATAGACACATTTTCTGTTTTCTGTGGCCAAGTAGCCTCAAACTAAGTTTTACACTTTCTTCCTCACCTTCAGCTCCTCCTGCTGAAGTTTTCTTGCCACCTCCATGTCCTTCAGCTCCTGCTCTCGGAGATCCAGCTTGATCAGCTCTCTAGTGGCCTCGTTCAGCCCGTACGCCGTTTCTGCTATGACAGATCCACTCCCTCTGTGCACAAGATGACCTGCAGGTGCAAACCACGTTACGTGAGAATTTCACAAAAATTCTGGAGAAAAGAAAAACTAAAAAAAAAAAAAGAACTACTAGGGAAAAGTTCCTTAAAACCATTTGCTATAACCAGCCAGCTACAAATTAAAAAAATTATTTTTTAAATTTTCGTTGACAAACAAAAAACGATTATCCCGATTTTATTTTGACTGATTAAAAAAATGATTGTTTAACAGAAAAAACTCCTTTTGTATTAATGTCATTTAAAAGGGCTGCAGTGCATCTGTGCTGATGCTTACCAGGTTTTTGATCAGGCGGGAGTTTTTCTGCTGGTTTTCATCTGATTGAACAACCAGCTGCACAGCCCTGAAACCCTTTTGTTAATGCCAAACCAACCATCAGATCATCTAACGTCACACAGCTTCTGCAGGAAACCATCAACACACACCAGTCTCTGCTTCACTGATGACACCCAGCAGCAACCAACAGGAGAAAAGGAGTAAACTTCTCCTCAAAGCAACAAAAGCATCACAGCCACCAGATTAAACTCACATTCATCACTAGTGATTAGCACGTTAGCTCCACCCACCACCTCAGACTGCAGGAAGCAGCGTAAGCAATCCCCACACATGCCCCCACAAAGCCCAGGGGGGACTCGGGGTGGTACCTGTCTCCGTGTGCTCCCTTCCGAGTGCGTCCCCCTGCAGGGACTCCCACAGCTCCCTGCTGTCTCCTCCTCCTCTATCATTCATGAACCCGTCAAACGCGTCCACGGGGTTGGAATGGACGCGCTGCTGGCTCCTGGCCCTCCTCTTACCACCGACCTCTTCGTCCTCCCAGGAGTCCCGGCTCTCTCTCAGCTGCTCCCGTCTGCGTCCAGGTTCCTCTTCAAATCCTCTGTCCCTGCTCCGGGCTTGTCGTCTCTCTCTGTCTTTTTGTCTCACTCCGTCTCTCTCTCCAAGTCTGTCCCCACTGGGGAATCGATCTCGGGATTTTTCCCTCTCTCTGGCCGGCCACAAGTCCAACTCCTTGTCTCTCCTGTAGTCTCTGTCCACATGTTTGTCCAAGTTATGGTCTCTCTCCCTGTCATGTCTGTCCCTCTCTACAGCAGTCTTTGGTGGAGGGGGTCTACCTGGTCTCTCTTTCTTCCTCACCTCTCTATCTTCATCTCTGACTCTTGCCGTGTGTGAAGGTTCAAACTCTGGGCACCTGTCCTCATGCTTTCCTCTGGGGTGCAGGTGCTCGGGATACGGGTCTGCGTGCCTGCTACGCCCTCGTTCTCCTACAGAGTGGTGCTCCGGGTACCTGGAGGGACCACGGGGTGCAGCAGAGTCCTGTTTGGGGTACCAGCTCCATTTTGGCTCAGCTGAGTAATAATCTGGAGAGTGATCGTGATGCGAGCGCCCTGGAGAGTACGCATCAAGAGACCGGGTTTTCTGACAGGTGAATTTGTCCACATCCAGGGGTCGTGGAGCTGAGCCGGGCGGAGTTAAGGGAACGACGATGAGATCATGCAAATATGAAGACAGTTAGTAAGGATGGCAGTAAACAAACCCATGTGAGGAGAGAAAGGGTTAAAGCATAATGGAAACTCTGGATGGAAGAATGGTAGTGACATCATCACACAAAACGTCCAGAAACATGTTTCTCCAAGAAAGTTTTAGACATGTTTAGACTAAATAACGAAAGAATTAGAGATCAAAAACATGATAAAAAACAAAACACATTTCTTTCCTGTAACCTCATCCTGAGCAGCCGTGTTTTGTTGATTGGAAATTTCACACAAACAAACATCCAGAATGAACTCTGAGTGACTGGCTTTCATCTAAAAACACCTTTGGAAACCAGTCTGCTGGGACAGGGTGTGTGACAGAGCAAACAAAGTGTGAGCACGCACGCACGCACGCGCACACACACGCACACACACACACACACACACACACACACACACACACACACACACACACACACACACACACACAGGAATGTATGTGATCTAACAGACTGCTTAAATCCAGTTGACTGTTGACACTAAAACGGTCTGACTGACCGACGCCTGCTCACAGTGACGGAGCTAGCTGCAGCTTTAAACACCTTTCTGTCGCCCTTTTCCTGTTGGAATGAAGACATGAAAACTCAACTGGATAATTTAGTGGATTAAATATTTTAAAATCCATTAAAACCACCACGGAGGACATATTTCTACTGTCTGTAAGAAAGTGAAAAGGGTTACTGACGCCATCCGCGGTCAGCTCTGGCTGAAATCACCCACCTGACAGTTTAAAGGGAACTGACTTTTTACTCTTGATAATGTTAGAGTCTGCCAACATGCTGGTTTGTGTTTGAGATCCAGTGGATTAAGACAGGAGCATTTGTAATGACAGTGAAATCACACACACACACACACACACACACACACACACACACACACACACACACACACACACACACACACACACACACACACGAGGATCTGAAGCAACACCCAGCTGTTCGGTCCTGTTTATGATGTCTGAACTTCAAACAGCAGGAGCAAAACTACACAAACAAGCTTCACTTCCTGTGTCACCTGTGCTGCAAAAATAAAAACTATCTGAGGTGCATCTGTGGAACATCAAACTACCAAAAACAGAAAAGATGCACAGATTTCTAGTCTATACAAACTAAACCTCTTTTTTCCTGCTCATTATTTAAAGGGAAAACAAAGAGAAAGTCTGTTTCTGAGAACAATTAAATCTAGTAAAACAAACCCAGGTTTATACGAGAAAAACAGGAGCCAGTCTGCCACTTAAAGTCAGCGGGGTGAGGCAGCAGTAGAGGGAAACAAAGTCACACCCATGGCTCAAGAACACAAAGCTGTGCTCGGACTGAGACGGCATCTTTCAAACATCTGTGATGTTTTCTTATAAAACTTTTATGAAACATTTCTTATAAAACATTCTTATAAAACTTGTGGACGCTTGAAACGGGGGCAAAAGTGATTAAATTATATCCAGCCATCCTCCAAGGCTAATTAGGTGCTTCTAAATTAATTATGAAATCTTTGCCTCAAGTCAGCAACAATCTGCAGCTCTCTGCAGTTTCTAAAGCTCCTTTAAAACTTTTGCACACGAGCCCATTGTTATATTAGGAGTTTTACGGCAGCACACGAGACACGCTGGTCTCCTCACCTCCGTGATCCTCGTAGTAATCATCTTTAGAGGTAGCTTCCAGCTGTTTCTGTCTCCTCCTCTCGTCCCTGATCTTCTCCTTCTCCTGCAGCTTACGAGCGATGGCCTACAAAACGAACGAAAGGCGTAAAAAAACAGAAATATGGCTAATATTTGACAATAGTCTGTGTTTTGCTAGATCACAATACTGTGGTGAAACAAACGATCACTTGATGTTTAAGAAGCATAACAGCCTTGCTCATGTTTTAGGTTAAATAGCATCATGTTGCCCCTGATTGGCTCGTTTCACAACGTTGGAGAGAGCAGCTCAGAAGGATTTAGAAATGAAGGGAAACTCCCAAGATTTGCTTGAACTCTCCTCATTAATAACGATTTGGTTGGAATATTCCCAACCATGACCATTGTGATTTGGAAAATTTGAACCAAGCGGAGCCTATCAGGTGACGTTTCAGGCGAAACCCCCCGATTGCTACGGACACAAACACAAGAAGTCGTGCTGCTGATGTGAACATGTAACCACCAGTCAGCAGGTAGAAATGTGTGTGTCTTACTGCGTCCTCCTCCTCCATCAGCCGCTGCCGCTCCGCTTGTCGGACCAGTTCTTCCTGAATCTCCTGTGCGATCTCATTATCTTGTCGCTCGCTGGTATTCCCACAGATGTGTGTTTAATAAAGGAGAAAAAGAAAAAAAAAACAGTTAAACCAAATGTTCTTCAACTCTGACCATCTTTCGCAGCTTTCATTCAAGTTTATTATTATTAAGTTGTTTTTTTTACTGCCTGGTTAAACCAGGCTTCAGAGCTAGACCTGAATCCACACTGATGGAGATCTATGGATTAAAGAGCAAGTCACCCCCTACAAGAAACTTACTTCACTCCCTCTTCATGTTTAAAAAATGCAACAAATGATGTTGCCTAGCAGACCGAGAGGGCGGAGCCACTAACAAATACACACACACAGGCTCACAACGGCATTGTGACATCATAATGTACCAGTTTACATCATAGCATACCTCTTAGCCAATAGCGGTGGTAGATTTAAATTCAACTGCAGGGCAGAGTTTATACCCGACAACGGCGCAACACTGACAGTTTTAGGCAGAACATTTAAATTTTAACTGAAATGCATTAAAGTGCTAAACTATTGACTACACGTGTCTGCAGCACGATTAGACACGCATTCATAAAGTTTATCAGGAAAAAAAAGCTGATTTGGGGGGTGACTTGCTCTTTAAGTAATTAATCATCTGATGTAGGGAAGAGAATTTTTGGAAGGATGTTTAGGAAGCCGATCCCAAACGTTTCTCTCAGCTTGCTCATCCTGTCACAGCAGGATGGGCGAGCTGAAAGATGACTTGTTACTGACTTGTTGGACTTGTAGCTGACCTCTGCTCAGGAGGGGTTAAACAAAAAGTCCCAGAAAGCATCACCTGCTGCTTGTTTATGTACAGACTGCAGGATAGTTGTGATTTAGGAGGCTCTAATCTCCTCAAACAGCCACAGAACATCCCCACCTAACAGATATGTGATCTCATCTGTAACATAATATATGCAAACCCTAAATATCTGTATTTCTAAATACTTTCCATCCCTAAAAGGATTCCAGCTGCACGTGGGAGTTATCTTGGAGCGTTGAGTCACTTTGCCAGTACAGAATTAATCTGGTTTGATAGTAAGAACACCAGATTATGCTAATTTGAAACAGATGCCATCATCTAAGGAACGTCTAGTGAGCTCACCAGTTTTCTGACTACTTTACGAAACATTTGAATGAGTTTTTCATTTGTGGGTGTTGAATTTTAACCTAACTAAGTAAATGAGAGTGAAAATCACTTCGGTCAGGATCAGATGATCGCTCTGCCTACCTGCAGAAACGTTTCTCCTCTGCAGCGATTTTTTTTTAGTGTAAAGTTTTAGTTCCTTCTTTCTAAAACTGGAGCGTGTTGATCTCAGAGATGGACCGATATGGCTTTCTACTGCCGATGCTGGTTTGTAGAGGTCAGGGTCAACCTGACGTTTGCTGGGCCGATGCACCTCATTTACATGTCACTAATAAAAAGCACAGCGTCATACGAGCCTGAAACCGTTTTTGACCTCTGAGTTTAACCAACTCTGGAATCTTCATTTTAAACACTTAAGGATTAAGATCAAACATTTAATCAAAGCTATTGAAAAAAAAAATCTGTAAACTGATCAAGAATTAAATATATAAAAAAAGACAGGTTGCAAAAGGGAAATGTTAGCTGAGTAAGTTTCAGAGCATTCATTAAGCAGATATTTTTCAGGGATGTAAATAAACATTTAACTAAATTCAGCAGTTGCACCGGAACGCCCGGCTGAGACTGATGTATGAACAATGGTAACTATGAGCCTGATTTATCAGTCTATCCCTAGTGCTGATGCATCTGAGACACCCACATGTAATCATGTTGTTTCTGGCTCTGGACCTTGGCCCTCTCGTCCTCCTCCTCCTGCAGCCTCTTGGCCACCTGCAGGTCCTTCTGCACCAGGCGGTTCTTATGGACGTTAGAAGCCAAGTGGCTCTCAACTGTAAACAAACACAACAGCGTCGTTCTTAAGACTGTGTGCACACATGCTCAGAAGATTAACAGCTTAGACGTTTATCAAACCGTTTTATCAGTATTTCTGAGGATGGTTTGAAGAGGACAAGATAAACGTAAAAGGACATGGACTTTCAGTCTCTCGTAATGAGAAGAGGATGCTCCGACTTGCTGAGAAATGAAGGTTCGCAGCTAAGGCGTCTCTCCAAGGTTGTGCTATGGCACATTGTGGACATAACAGATGATAAATCCTGCTTGCTGACGCACTTTGTGAGCACGGACAGCATCACTCACCCACGCTGCTCATATCACCCCGTTATCGATCTGTTGGCAGCGCTCGGTTAAAAGGTCCAAATCACACGTGTTCATTTTTAACAGCAAGAAGCTCAAAAAAAGGTTTCTGCTGTGATTGAAAACAAAAACGGAGTCACAGCTGAGTTGAGCTAACAGAAAGTGAAAAGGTTTATATTGATTGTTTTTATCCTTGTTGGAGAAGGTTGTGATCAACTGAACTCCTGGGGCAAAATATAAATAAATAAAAAGACACAACCAATGTCACGACCTCAGCCGAGGGTGTCATTCATCTGTTAGAGTTCGTCAACAACACTGATTTATGTCTCAAGGAGAGAAACACAAGTCCAGATTGATGGGATATACTACAACAAAAGTTTGGTCTTGGAGTTCCACCTCATTCAGTTGAAAAAGAAAAGAACAACAACTTCATGAAGCTCAGACAAATCTGAGCCTTTAAAAAGAGAAAATGTAGAAAAACCTAAAAAGCTGATGATGCAGCCACATAGACTTCTATCTGACAGTGGGATGTTCAACAAATGTCTGTTTTTCCTGATTGTATTTAACGCAACAAGCTGCAGAGGCTCTTCAGTGGCAATCAGCTGTTGATTTAGAGGACAACAACGATAAATTAGAGTTCTTCTGATATCTTCAGGGTCAAAACCTGCAGCAACAAGAGATGATAATGCTAAATAATGATTGTGGCTGTTAAAAGTTAGATAATGCAAGTAAAAAAACAAACACACACACACCATCGTTTTTCCCATTTATCTACAACACTCAAAGCCTTTCACTGTTTGAAAACAATTTTCCGAGTTGTCTTCTATCTTGTGATTCCTGTTATTTCTGATTATCCGAGTGAAGCTGAAGAACGCATGGAGCCGTTTTCATTCTCCACACAGATTCTTATAGAAAGGTCTGGATCTAAGTTTTGTCAGAACAGAAGTCCAACTCAGCAGAGGATCTACCACAGCAGGCATGAAAAAGCTGCAACTTGTTCTCCTCCTCCTGACCTCACACGAGCTGATCTAACGGGGTGTGCAGGGACAAACACATAGCACACATATTTGTGCTGCATTACCTCCCGATCCAACCCCAAGCTACAGCACGCATTACCTCCCGATCCAACCCCAAGCTACAGCACGCAAAAATAATGTGATCCAGACAAACTAAACGCACAACAGCCATGCTTTCCTGCTGTAATGTTGCTGCACCACCATTCACACAGTGCAGCCGAAGTTGGTTTTAAATAGATTTAATGAGGCTACAGTGACAGTTTACCATCACATTTCCACACATGCTCCAAATGACTCAAGTGTTCCATTAATGTTTTTAACATCAGAACAGCAATGAAGTAATAAAAAACAAGTGCTGTTGGACTGAAACTTTTTAGAGGAACAGAACTGTGAAAAAACTAAAGTCATTAGAACTCATGAAATTCATGAGAATAAATTATTAAACTCATTAAAAGGAGATTTGTTTTTAATGAATGAAGAAATTTTTGTTTAAAGCAAGCAGGAGTTCTGCCTCCTTAGATGTGAAAAAGTGGAAAATGTCTTACTCTCTTGTTCCTGGAGGTTGTAGGCCAGACAGTGGTCTTCAAGCACAGCAAAGTCTTTACACACTGAAAAAAAGAGGAAAACATATGAGATCAAGAAAATAACACTAACTAAATATGATTATTGCTTGATTTTTTTTCAGACATCGAGCTAAATAATAAAATCAGTTTAGTTGTTTAGCTTAGTGAAATCTGTTTAAATAGTCTGGATCAAATAACGATCATCTTCCACTCTAAATGATTAATATTGATCACTGGGAAACCCGTGGCAGACTGAGTAAAAGCAAAGACTTCTTTAACCAATATGAAGAAGCATCAGCTGCCTCAGCCATTAGAGGGTTTATTTTAGAGCTGAAACAACTAATCGATTTAATCGATTATAATCGATTATTAAAATAGTTAACAACTTTTTTAGTCATCGATTAGTTGTTTAATAATCATATTTTACCGCATAAAGTCTATTTTTTACCACAATCTGACATCGGTTACAAGCTGTTAAATTTGCCGCCAGTGTGTGGCAGTAATGAGCCACTGATCTACCAGTGGAGCCGTAGAAGAAGAAATGAGCCAATGGGTGCCCTCGGTTTTCATGACGTATCACGTTACTGACGCTCATCTTGCTGTGAGAAAATGGCGGAACAAGAGGAAATACGGAAGAAAAATAGAAGCGACAAAACTGAAGAGAAACCCCGGACAAAAACCTCACGAGTATGGGAGCACATTTGAGACGAAAGCATGTGGGGGCTGATGCAGCAGAGGAAGAGCACCGCGGTCAAGTGAGCCGTCATTTGGAAGAGCCAGCCCGGTAAGTAACAGAAAATAAACAAGCTGGACTTAGTGTTTTAGCTGAGTTCGTTATAGTGGATGTTAAACATGTTTTTTTGCCGCGTCAGTCTGCGGTGTTCTACTTCTGATTGACTAGATGCAATCGTGAATCTCCTCCGTGTTGTGTATCATGCGCTTGCCAAATTTAGCACGTCTGTTTATAAGAATGTTCTCGTTAAGAGAAAAACGGCACAAACCCATAACTATGTTCCTCATTCAAAAAAGGACAACTCCGCGGAGAAAAATATACAGACAAGCTGTGTCCAGGTGAATATAACGCGGCATAGTTGTACACTTTCAATTTTTAAATACAGGAGAAATTCAGAAAAAGTCATTTTTTTACTATTAAAAGGCTGTTTTACTATCTAACGCTGTAAAACGCCTCACAACACATTTTTATCATGTTTCTTAAACAGTATTACACAAAATAAACATTTTTCACATTTCTCTGGCTAATTTAAACACTCCCGACTCAAAGTAAAAACCTCATGAGCTTCTTACTTAGAGCTTTTTAATAGTAAAAATGTTTTACTTTTTTTCTGAATATCTCCTGTTGCGGGCTATTTTGTAGAACGTAACCCTCAAAATAAATGATCACTGTATATTGTTAATTAATTCAAATAATATAATATTGATTTAGTGTTGTAGTGTGTGTGCTGCTTTATTTTATATGTGTACTTATTTCAGTCTATTTGTGTTTCTTATGCAGAAAAAAACAAGCAACGATGGACAACTACATGGGGAAGAAGACACTCACCCCCCAGCAATTCATACCACTTACAAACTCTATTCTAAACATGCTGGTAAAAGACATGAGGCCACTATCCATGGTGGAAGGAGCAGGCTTCCAGCTAATGCTAAAAATTATTCTGGACTGATATTTTGCACTGTTTAGCTCATTTTATACTGCTGACTGTGTTCATGTGCAATAAAATAGATTGCAGTCAACTGCACAATTCTCTTATGTTTTTTTGTTCTTAACTGAAATGCATCCATCACTTGTATAGGTTAAATAGCTAAACAATAACAAACCGATTAATCGATTAATCGAAAAAATAATCGACAGATTAATCGATTATGAAAATAATCGTTAGTTGCAGCCCTAGTTTATTTAGAAAATACACATTCTTGGGATTTATTTGCAAGTTGGCAAAAGTAAATGAAACCTGTTATTTTTAAATTGCACGTGATATGCTAAACAAAACTGTCTTTCTCAGGCTTGATAAATAGGGCAGCCATCTGGTCGTCTATTTTAATCAAAATCAACAAGAAGTGAAACTGCAAAAGAGGATCCAAACTTTGCATTCAAATAAAATAAAGTTTTGAGATGCAAGTCAAAGGTGCAATAGCAAATACAGAACAAGCCATCTTAAAACATTTTTTCACACCTAAACAACGTCCCAACATGTATAGCTAGAAATAGTTTGTTGAATTTGTTTGTTGAATATTAAATAAATAAATGATGTGGTTCTCAATCATCATCAATTTTATTTCTTTCTTTTTAGATCATTTCAGTCAGCCCCAAAGTGCTTAACTCAACAGATAAAAACGCACAAAATCAAAAATGACAGCAACACAACTACAAATAAAGCTAAGAGACAAACCTGTCTAATTAAAAGCTAAAGAACAGAAATGTGACCTCAGCATAGATTTTAGGGCTGCACAATATATCGTTATCGCGATATCAGCATGCGCAATATGCATATCACAAAGAACAGATAAATATTGCAATGACTGGTCAGCTCAAATGTTTGCTAGCATAATGCATTCTGTCAATCAAACGGAAGCATGATGTTTTTTTAACAAATCAAATAGAGCTCTTCACTCATTTGGCCAACTGGGTGGGTTCTCATAGGTTAGATGCCCGCCCCCGACACTTAATTTTGATGGTTAGCAAACACCCGAGTTAGCTTTGTTCTGCTCTTTCTGCTTTTCCCGGGATCCACTGATTGGCTTTTCTTGTTCATTTTCTTTACCCCTTTCCTCGCATCTTTTGCTTTTCTCAATTTTATGAAATTGTTTAGTCATTTTTAAATGTCTTTGTTTTTGATTATTTTTGTTCCCGAGTTAAGTTTTTATTTATCGCACGTAAAATCGTCATCGCAGTATTAATCACTGTTATCGCATATCGCAGGTTTTTCTAACATTCCCCATGCCATATTAGATTTCAAAACTGTAAGTGATGGAATTGTTTGAACAACCAAAGGCAGAGCATTCTACAGCCAAACCACGGAGAAGGCTCGCCCACCTCGCGTTTCCAGGTTATATCTCGGGGTAGACAGTAGACACTGGTCTGCAGACCTCATCAGAACGTAGTGGTTTACAAGTGGCTGAAGATAGACCAGCGCCTCCACAGATAAAACTTTCAAAACGAAAACCTTAAAATAAATACTAAAACAGACTGGTAGCGAGTTCATGTCCACCAGCACTGGGGTGAAGTGGTCCCTCCCCCTTGTACCAGTCAGAAACCTAGCTGCTGCATTTTGCACCAACTGCAATCTGTTTACAGATAACTCACTGTCAGAACCGCAATACAATAGTGAAGCCTCGATGAGATAAAAGCATGGATTACAGTCAAGCTGCTTCCTCGAGAACATTGACTTAATCCTGGACAAGCGGGACAGGTGGAAGAAGCATGTCGTGCTTATCAAATGAAAGGGTCACATCAATCTTCACTCCAAAACTGGTCACCACCCCGTTCTCCACAAATTAAAGTTTGGATAGATCCCCTGGAGCCAGGCAACTATTCTCTGAGTCCAACTTAATGATACTGACTCAGATTTAGCCTCATTTAAACAAAGGAGGTTGTCTGCAAACCAGGATTTAACCTCCTCTAAATAGTTCATGAGTGACTGTACACTGTCATAGGAGCATTTAGAGACAGGAAAGTAAATCTGGCAGTCATCTGCGTACAGGTGAACGTTAACGTTATGCTTCTAGAAGAGCAGTCCTAATTAATATAATAAGAACAAGTGTACAAGGATAGAACCCTGTGGAACATCCCAAAAAAGAGAGACCCTATACGAGGTGCAACTCCCTATGGTGACAGAAATAGTCCTGTAAGTCAGTTAGGATCTAACTAGGGATCTAACGGTAAGCTAAACTCCTATTCAGTTGGTTCAGTGGTCGGTCCAATAATTTTCGGTATATTATTTGATTTAATTCATAAAATATCTGAAGCGGCTTCTATAGTGAGCTAAACCAGGTGTCATCACAGGCTGCTAATCTAGCATGATGCATTTAATTATTTCACAGAGTATTTGCACCACAGACATATATACATAGATGCCCCGTCGACTGTCGCCGTCTATTGGAGGTGGCAGACCGCCATTTTAGATAGATTAGCGCCCAGTGCATTCATTTCTACTGAGGAAGGTGCTTACTCAACTAAAAACCACATTTTATCAAGCTTTTTCACAAAATCAAACACAAGGTATGGCATGATAAATAAAATATTAAATAAAAATAAATATTAAATATAAAATCCTATCAGTATGCTTGAAAAATCCCTAGTAATCCCACGTGATCTGTTTTCAATTGTACGCCGGTTGTTGTAACCGTAGGCTGCACAGAAAGGGGCATAGTTGCTGACTCTCGACTTTGGAGAGTGACCCATCCAACATGGCAGCGACACTGTTACACTCTCCAGCAACCAATGGGGCATCTATGTACTCATGTCTATGATTTGCGCAGCTCACTCTCATACAGACAAGTGTTGTGTTGGACGTGTCTTTATTTCTTAAAAAACTCAACTCACACCGCCCAGAGTTTCTTCTTTAAATCTCGTATTAAATAAGGAGCGTAATACGCGTCATATTTTTTATTGTAAGATGAAAATTTTACATCAGTTGTCACAGCGGAAACATTCTGCGTACGCAAGTGGACCGAACCAAACTGCCCGAACCGAAAGGGTTCGAGTAACCCCTGTGAACCGTTACACCCCTAGATCTGACCCATTCCAGTGGAGGTCCTGTAATCCCGACCTACTTTTCAAGCTGAAAAAAAATTATGAAGTAGTTATCTCGCATTTCTCTAAGAACCTCAGTCAATAACACAATTCAGACCAAAACCAACTATTGAACCAGCCGGTTATTTTCTCACTGAACCACCACACTTCCCTGGGTCCTCCATTCATTACACGCGTATTTTGTAACGGGACACGATTGGTGTGAGAGATTCTCTGCTCTACTGCTACCACTTGACCTTTAGGTCAGACTACTGGAGTTCCAAAAAGAAAAACACCACGGACAACAAAATACATTTTAACCTAGGTAATTTGACAGGTGTTTATCTCGTTTTGTCGGGCAATGCAGCTTTCTAGTTCCGGGGGATTTGGCCCAGGGATGATAGCAAACGATAGGAGTGAGAGCTTTGTGACCGTGTTTACATTTAAAAGCTAGCTTGTTCTCTAGATTTGCTATACCAGCTTTAACTGCTGTGATTCTATCTTGAGTTTGTCTAAACTTGGATGATCTTCTACAAAGTGACAAGTGATAGGGTAAAGGTTAAGCTGATAGTGTAAACTGTTAAATAGACTAACAAATAAATCGGAATAACTGCTCTTAGAATTTGTTTTACTAAACAAATCCAATTTTTAAAAAGACAAGAAAATTATCCAGCCACAATTCTTTGGCCTGAGTCAAAATATTCCAACTCCACACTGGCAGCTAAAACTGTTCTCACAAGAATCACTTTATTGGTGCTCATTTTCCATGGGGGGGGGGGGGGGGGGGAGGGGGGGGGGGGGGGGGAGGGAGATTCCTATGAAAACCCCAACACAGCCACAACTCTACAAAGTTCTGAAACGAGGTGGACAGCTATTTTCTGTTTGAGTAATTGGGACTGATCAGTATTTAAATGCAAAAACTTAAGGGGAGATTTTAAACCTGAGTAACTCAGCTACGTGCTGATACTTCAACTTGTGCATCTCCTAAAAAATGGAAACATATTTAGCAGATAATCACAACATTAGCACTGGATTTGATACTAAAGTTCCTCCGGCGCCCGCTAAAACCAAAGATTAGACATACAAGCTTCACAATCTAATATTAGAGTTAGGATCAGTTTTTCTCAAAGTTTACACACAATGAACCAAACAGATGAACAAAAGACAGCAGATGCTGGCTGCACAGCTAACAAGAGGAGGGTCACGACCTCCACAAATCCTCACAGAGACTCTGGCCAGTTTGGAATTTGATTAACACGGCATGTTCCCAACATATGTTTAATCTTCTTAAACAAACCAGAGGATTTTGTTGCTGGTTTGTCTTGTCTTAACAACAGTTTTACCGTCTAACATTTAAGGTGACAGGTGCAGATATCTTACAGAAAGCAACACGATTACAGCTTCCTCTTCTTTACTCAAACACTCGGGGCAAGAAACTAAAAATCAGCCCGCCAGTACTGACAGAATTTGCACAATGACCACATGAAGTCAAGTTGTTTGTTTAATTCCTGAAATGGCACCAGTGCAATATTTTATATTACAGATTATCCTATTTTCTATTCCAAACATGAGAAGTTGTCCAGCTGCTTTTTGAGTCCCTCTCGCACAAATGCTGGTTTCTTTCCTCTCTGATCAGAATGACAAACGTTAGGCTGAGCAGCTGCTTCCCACTGAATCTCCTAAATACCAGTCTGATAGACTAACTCCACTCTTACTTAATCCATTGAAAGTTGTAACAATAACATCCCAAGTCTAGGTCCTTTGACAGACTTTAGGGGTTTAGTTTCAGAGCAGTCACAGCCAGGCAAATCATAACTGGGTTGGTCGAATTTGGCATAATGCAACTTGTTCTCAGAGGTCTGGCTCAACAACATACCAAAAAAAAAAGAAAACAACTCTGCGTGATCAGAGCTGAAGTCACATGACCAAAAATACTACGTTTAAAGTTAAAACCATTTTACCACCATTTAAACATAAACACCTAGCTAATATAAATATGAGACCAAGTGTATATTTACACAAACGTTAAATTTTATGTTTACCACAGTTATCTTGACACGAAACAAATTCATTCTGAGTAGGACACAAAATCTGGCATGAAACCCAGCTAAGGTGTGTGATGAGTGCTAGCATGCACCAGCAGTCCGCATCAACAGTGTCCGAAACCAAAAGAAAATCTGGTTATATTAACATTAATCTTGCTAGTGATACCAAACAGCTGACTGGCTTTCTATTTATCCGGGAAATGTGTCATGGACATTACCCTCTTTCACTCCCGGTAGTCTTTTCTGGTCGATGCTAACGTTACAATCAGCCATGACGTTGTCAACGAGAAGTCAAAAACCGCTGACGGTGACTGCGTTTCTTTCGAAGGTTAACGGCAGCCCGGTGATTTATAGTCTTTGCTCATAAAGCCGATGGATGGTTCAAGGGCTGCACGGCCTTTTTGATTAGTATCGGTAGCCAGCCTCTCTCGATACGTCGCCACTGTAGCTAGCTAGTCAGATTTCCTCCGAGCGTCCCTCCCATCGACATAAAGGTCCCTCCCTCCCTAACCAAGGACGCGTCCGACCAGCGATGACCACCAAGTTTACAACAGCCAATGCACTTCCTGCACCGGCGTGTCAAAATAAAAGCCTCAGCTGGCAGCAATGTGCTGAACATTCTTATGGAAATCACTAACTGAGGTTAAAGATATAAAATAAAACACACACACACACACACACACACACACACACACATTTATATACATATATATGGCACCAGTACTATAAAATAAAATATGGTGTGTGTGTGTGTATATATATATATATATATATATATATATATATATATATATATATATATATATATATATATATATATATATATATAACGCAAACGAAACGTCAGCAAGGTAAAGAAAAACCTTATCTGTGTTTAAAAAAGAACCAAAAATGGAATGACCTCTAAAGTTGCAGCTAAACATTATATTTGCATGAAAGTCTTTCCCCGTGCCTTTCTCTGTTTTTCTCTTCTGTGAAAATGTGTGGTGTTTGTTACAATCATACATTTATTCCAAAGCGTTGCTTTTATAACTTCTCACAAACACATATCAGGCATCTATCATTTTATTGAGTCACAAGTTGGACCAAAAAACAACAACAAAAAAAAAAAAAAAAAAAAAAAAACCCTACTTCAATAAAAAACCTGACTGACTCGACCTAAAATTGTTTGATTTAAGTAGAAAAACTGATCGACCAACTTCCGGTATTTTGTGGCAAGTGTTTTTAACTTGACAAGTGTTGCTTTGGAAGGTTCGGTGACATCTGCAGCCCCGAATACGTCTTCTCTGAGGACACTCGGGAAGAAAAACAAGAAACATGATTTTGATGGCGACGTCTCAGATTTGGGAGCCAGCTTGTTTATTTGAATGGACGCGAAACCTATTCAGTAGTATCGCCAGGCTCGCCGCTGGCCACATGGGTGAATTTCATGTTGCCCAACGTGATTGTTTTTATTATTTATTTATTTTTCATAAGATTGATTGGTTTGTGTGCGTCACTTGGTGCCCTTCGTACTACCGCGACAAATTCATTCAGTCCTCTCATTACAAACAATCCCACGCTTACCTGTCACATGACATCACGAAGCAGCTGATTAGATTATGTTAATGTGATTGCTTCCTCTAGTGGTCAGAATTAAAACTGGCCAGTGGCTGCAACTCATTTGCTTGGAAAGAAAATGCTTTTGCGCATTTACTACGCAATTTACGATTAGCTATGCAATCGTTTACAATATTAGCATACAACTTGAGTTTATTGGTTAATGTCTTTTTTTAAGTTTTATAGATTCTTAAACCCTGACTTTTACACAGCAGAGTTTCTGAGAGCAGAAAAAGGATTTGTGGCTGAATCTTCCCATTGTCCAACTTCTGCAGAAACAGAACTTTTGAGATTGTTTGAGCAACCTTACCAGAGAACTCTTTGTAATATTTGCTAAGTGTGCAACACTCAAGGAATTTGGTTCCAGCTGTTCGTAGCTCTCAAGAACAATCGAATCCAGATGTTGCACAATAAAAACAAGCATGGCCGTCACAAACAATTCAGACAAGCATGACAGACACACACAACTTGTGCAGATCAGCTGTTGAGAATGGTGATGCCGTGGGAGAAGATACAGTTTCTGTGATGGTTCTGTCTGCAGACTTCTGCAGGACTCTACCAGGGTGTGAGGAATCAGCTGCAGCCTTTTCTGTCTTGATGGGTCCTGGATGGAGCATGGGGGGTGTGATTCTGGTTTGCTGCAGTCTGTTGTTGTCCTGCCTGGCTGCACCAAACCGGTGTGATGCAGAAGCACAGGACAGACTGAATCAAAGTTTAATCACAAGCTCCTTTGACAGACCAAACTTCCTCCGTCATCACAGGAAACATCCTCTGTTGAGCTTTTTTGACAGTCGAGGTCATGTGGTTCTCCTACTTCAAGTCCAGAGAAATAATGGTTCCCAGGTCTCCACAGGCGATGGTTTTGCTGAGGAAGCAATGCTGGTGCTTCTTCACAGTCTTGAGCATTTTCACCTACAGGTTGTTCTGACTGCAACCAAAGCCCAAGCTGTCCGTCTTCTCTATGGTAAGCAGAGTCATCATTGTACTGGATGAGACCAATGACTGTGATGTCATCTGCAAACGTCAGAAGTTTGACAGATTGGTCTGTGGAGGTGCCGTCACTGGAGAGAGAAGATCAGTGGAGAGAGGACACACCCCTGAAGGGTGCCGACGCTAGTGGTCAGAGGTGACCTTTCGTATCCTCACCATGTTTATAAATGTTTATGTTGCCATACTTTGAGTTATAATTTTCTAAAACCAGTATTAAGCTGTGTGTTGGAACCATAACTGTTACATTACTGGGTTTTTTGTGCAAAATTCTCAAATTTAAGGCCCCAGAGCTACACCCAAATTAACTCACCGATTAAATTCAGACGATAGCAGGATCATTTCTTAATAACATCTGGGAACATGTGCTTGTTCCTTCGGCAGAGATGTTGAAGGTGATTTTTCCTGATGCAGAACTGGTGAACAGTAGTGCCCTAAAAGGTGCTGGCCCGGCCTCGGTGATGGATGTTCCTTCCTTCAGCTCTAAATCAGCCCTGAAGCCAAGATTGAGGAGCTTGTCTTGTGCTTTGGCCCTCTCACGCACAGAACCAATTTATTTACCTCTTCTTTTGCTAGATCCACACACTCTCATGTACCTATTTAAGGAAGCAATCACTGTAAAAGACAAACACATGTCTGTGCCAAGAACGTCTGACAGTAGTCTCTCGTAACCAAGTAGCTGATTGATAACTTCCTCTCCATTTGATTTGGCCATGTCAGAGTGATGTACGGGTCCCTGGTCCCACGTCAGAGCCTGTATTTCATTCAAACGCTTCATGGTCTCTTTGAGATCGTTGGCTGTTGATGAAGACGACTTGATGTTGATTTAAGACACAAGGAGGTGACTGGCCCCTCCTCCGAGTCAAAGAACGTATAAATATTTTGACGAGATGGACTCAAAGGAGTATATTTCCAGAGCTGTTCAAAGAGAGTTCAGAGCTTTATTTGGGATTGCGTACGATGGACAGGGTCACAGCGGTGAACTACTGTTTAGGACTCCTTGGTTTGCTAGCACTGCAAGGAGTTATCAGTGTGGAGGGGAGGAGCATATTCACGTCTGGTGAGTGCGTAATGGAACAAAAATGCATGATTCTTCAAACCTATTGGACCTTATGCAAATATATTGTAGAAAATCGGTAAGGCATGAATTCAAATGACAATAAGTGTTTAGAATAAACTGATTCTGTGTTTTGTTATGATGTGATCTTTTGTGTTTGTGCAGGAAACCATGTTTTCAGTCCCAGAGAAAACACAGATATTCGCAGCAGGATTCTTGCACTTGTATTACACAGAAGCTCAGATCCTCTTGAAAACGAGGATCCACTGGGTATGTAGTACAAATGATGCTCCTAATATTAATACACACTTTCCTGCACTTTAACGGCTTTTGCCTTTTCACAGGTTTGATCGTGGGGAATAAATTAGTTGACTTAGAGGAGGTAAGACATTATTTGTTTTTGGTTAGATGATGGCTAAAACACTATAGATTTGTTCACTAACATAAAGGTGAAACTACAATGTACTTATAAAAAAAACTGGCAGCAGATTTCAATTTATTCAAGGCTGGAACTTAAAGTTGGCACACTACACAAAAATAAAAGACTGTGCTTGTATTGTTAAATTTAGAATTGTATGGATATTTCCAGTGTTAATTTATTTTTATCATTTGCATGTGAAGCTGCATGAACTGAGAGAGGATGTGGAGCTGGAGAGGAAGATTGCAGCTAATTTAGCAGGAGAAAATGCCATAACCAGGAAACGTGGTGAACGTGAGTCTGACACCAGTAGCTTAACCTTTAGTTTGAAAGATATTTTGAATTTAATCCTGTACATCTGTTACAGCTTGCTTTTGGAAGTATTGTGTCTGACATGGACACAAGAGGATGATGCACTCTACAAAAACTTGCTGCAAAGCTCAACCAAGCCTTAAAACTTGTCAAAGTGATTTAACGACCGTGCATTGTCTGCAGCAATATAGAGTTGTAACTAGATGTCATAAATAAAATCCTTGTTTCTGTGCACTTACTGGTGGAAGCTGTAAGTATTGTGGAACTTTTTGAGAAAACACTGAAGGTCTGCTTTGACAGAAATGTTCATCTTGGATGATTTTTGTTTGAACACCGTTTGTGCTTTTGCTGCCCTCATGTGTCAACTTTGGAAATAACATTTTGTACATAGCTGTCAATCATCTGGCCGTTCACTGCTTATAGACAGAAACTGCTGGTAATTTTACAATGTAAATAAAATTATAATGGGTAAGTTTGCTCTTTGATTTTGTTTTGTGATGCTTAAGAAAACAAGTATTTTGCCATCTACACACCATCCATACGTTAAAAAATGTGTCTTTATCTTTACTGTTGTTCAAATGAGCATCTAAACAAGCATGGCAGCTTTACTGGACTTGATCTCAACGGACTCGCTGCAACCCCCCCCCCCCCCCCCCCCCCCCCCCAATAAATATATTAAACCAACAACTAGAGGTGTGTTCACAAACTCAAATCACAAAAAAGAGCAATGTAAAGATTTTGGCATCTTTTTAGTATAAATCTGATGCATTCTCTGGAAGCAACACAATCTTCCGAGGTGAAGGCAGGGATTTAGTATGAAATTTACTGCCAACCACCACACCCCTGCGCAGCTCTTTTTCTTTTCCTTTCACATTTCCATAATAATAATAATAATAATAATAATAATAATTTAGTTGACCAGATTTATGTTACAACTTGACAATTAATTTGCAATCTTTCTGCTGATGTAGTTTTCAAAGATACAGAACCACATAATTGGAGCATAATAACAAATAATCCTTACTTTAGTAACAAATATTTATAACTTTAACTGCTTTTCTTCAGTAAATTTCAGCTGTTAACTTTATTTTTTCTTTAAGTGTTTTTCTCCTCAGAAGAAGCTACAATGATGTTCTGCTGAGCTGTGGTGGCCTCATTGAGGAGGTCATCATCTAGCACACTAACCACTTAAACATTCTCTCTCTCCTGATAATGACTTTTTGCTTTCCTTGACGTTGGATGTGCTACTAGTTCACCCGATTAATTATAGATCCACTAGGATAAATACAATAAAGTTTATCTCTCACCAAATAGAATACTTACAAAGAAATCACAATGTAACCATAGACACATCGCTTGGTGTGTGTGTGTGTGTGTGTGTGTGTGTGTGTGTGTGTGTGTGTGTTTGTGTGTGCGTGCGTGCATGCGTGTGTGTGTGTGTGCTCTGTCTTCTCGATCCCCAGTGAGTCGTGGTGGATGGCTGCTTATACTGAGCCGGGATCCTCTGGAGGTTTCTTCCTGGTAAAAGGGAGTTTTCCTCTCCACTGTCGCTATATGCTTGCTTAGTATGATACAATTTGCTGGGTTCCTTATATAGGAAACATTTTTTCTGATTGGCTTAATGAACTGACCTGAATTGGAACATTTATTATGCGAAGCGCCTTGAGACGACTCTTGTCGTGATTTGGCGCTATATAATTAAAATTCAATCGAATTGAATTAAGGTTGCGGGAAGCTGGTGGGACATCCTGGAACAGGCTCCAGTCCTTCACAGTTTTCAGAATTACCTGAATATAATTTTGGTCTGAGAGGAAACCAGAAAACCCTCTCACACATGCAAACTCCATACAGAAAGGACACAGCTGGGATTTGAAGCTATGAGGAAACAGCACCACCGACTGCACCACCATGCAGCTTTTGCTCAAGCAAAATTAATACATTCAAGATATTTAAATGATCTTACATTAGTTCTGGTAAATCTTGCTTTCATCTTGCTAAATGTGTCTTAGAGAAACCAACTTTCTGAAGAGAACTACAGAGCAGTCTTTTCAGCTTTTAAAGAAAAATTGACATCAAAATAAAAGGACAGCATTTCTGTCTTGTGAGTGAATGCATGCTTCAGCCGTCAGCTATCAGCCGCCAGATGGCTACGGACATCCTGCTTAGCAGAAGCAGGCAGTAGTTATCTCTTAGATCAGCTGAAAAAATACAAGAACCGGATCAGGCTGAGCCCCTCTGGCCAAGATATGTCCTCTACGGGAAATGATGCGGTGCTTCTCACTCAAAATGAAGAACGATGAACAACATACTTGGATATTTAAAACAGAAAAAGACAAGAAAAACTACATTTTTCACCAAAGCTTTAGACAAATAATAATTCATAAATAAGTCAAACAATAAAATAAAGAAACATTATTTGCTATTGAAACTGACAACTGAAAATGTTAAAATTTAAACATGAAAATAATAATAATCTAAAACACAAAAAAATGTAATTGTGTCAGTTTTTGTAATTTAGTTAGTAAGGGGACAGCACTGATGATGTTTTCTGGGGAAACCTGCTGGTGAAAAAGGAGGCAGGACAGTTACAGAGACAGAGAGGACACGTCTCTTCAGACAGCTGAAGACATCAGAGCAGCACAGGAACAACCAGACAGCGATGGACTCCTGCCACACAGGTCAGTGGAATATTTGTTATGTTCTGGTTTTTATCTCCAAAAAGTGTTTCCTTGTCATTCAAACACATTTTTACCTGAATGAATATTCTATATTAACAGCTAAATTCAGGATATGCTTCTGGAATTCAGGGAAATGTTAAAACTTGAGTTTTAACTGCATTTGCACAGGCCTGATGTGGGTGACGCTCATCCTCGTTGGACTCTCTGCCGCTGACAGCTCCGTCTCTTGCCCTGCCAACTGTCAGTGCAGCTCTGAGGGTTATGCCAACTGTACCGGCGTCTCTATCACTGACATCCCACCGAAGCTGCCCCTCCACACGTACACCCTGAACCTCTTTAGGACGAACATGAGTGTCTTATCTGAGCGGAGTCTAGCTGAGCAGGTTTTCCTGGTGCGCTTCAGCCTGACTAACAGTCATCTACACACCATCCATCCACGAGCCTTCAACGTAGCTCCTCAGCTCAAGACTGTCAAGCTATCCTCGAACGTTCTCTCCTCCCTCCCTGACGGGGTTTTCAGTCCTCTCACCTCTCTGGAGGAGATTTACTTAGATGGAAACCAGCTGACAATGATCGCACCTGACACGTTTAAGGGGCTTCGTAGTTTGCTGATCCTGGATCTAAACAACAACAAGCTCTCCAACCTTTCTTTTAACATTTTTGATGGACTGACCAACCTCAGCTTTCTGAACCTTGGCAGGAATCAAATAAAAACGCTCCCGCCTACAATCTTCCACTCCCTGACTAAACTTCGCCTGCTCGCGATGTACGCCAATAAGCTAGAGCAGCTGGAAGCTGGGATATTTGACAGACTTGTCATCCTTGAAGAGCTAACTCTCTTTCAGAACCAGATTGCAAGCCTTCCACCTAAAGTGTTCTGGCCACTGAAGAACCTGAGGACACTGAGCATGTCCTCCAACTGGCTTCAGAACATCCCACCCAAAAGTTTCTACAACATGTCTAAGCTCGTCAAACTCACCATTTACAAAAACCCTCTATTGTCTTTGCCAGATGAGCTGATGGGCTACATGCCTGACATCAGAGAGTTTTATCTGTACGGCACCGAGCTCGTCACCGTTCCTGGGAATCTGTTCTCCAACATGTCTGGTCTGCTGCATCTAAACCTGCATTTAAATCCAAAACTGAGCCAGCTACCATCTGATCTGTTCTGCTGTCTTCCCAAGCTCCAAAAGCTCTCGCTGAGGAACAACCAGCTTCAATATCTCCATCCTCAGCTTTTCTTTGCACTAACCTCACTGAGCATACTGCTCCTCAATGACAACAACCTGGTGACTCTACCTGAAAGCATATTTAAAAACCTTGGTGGACTTGAGACTCTAGATTTGAAAGGTAACCACCTCAAAACTCTCCCTGAAGATCTTTTCTCATCAAACACAGCCCTGAACGCTCTTCATCTGGGGGGAAACCCCTGGAATTGCTCTTGCATTATCAGAGGATTTGCTAGATGGGTCAGACAAAATGCGCATGTGGTTCCAGACAAAGTTGACACGCTGTGCCACAGTCCGTTCTATCAAGCGCTGCGCCGTCTCGACTCGCTGCTTGAGGAGGAGTTTGACTATTGTGATAGAACAGCAGTGACAAGTGTTCCAACTCAAGCCAACGTGAAAGAGCAGACTCAGCCTTTGACTGTGAGGTCAACCACCCCAACAGCACAATCAACCACTTCTGAGACCACAACAAACCCACCGGTGGTTCAGACCACATCCAACACTCAAACTAACGAAGCTCACCGTGTCTCGCCGTATTTCAACGACACGCTGGTGCTCCAGCAGGGTCCTGAGTACGTTCACCACAACCATCACAACGGCTGGGTGTACGTGTGGTTTCTACCATCCAGCAGCACTCTGGTTGGGTTCCTCATGGTTTGTTACATACTTCTCTTGGCTACAGGCTTGTTGCTCATTCTTGCTGCCATATTTGGCTTGCATCGCCTCAGCACCACCATGGACAAGCTGAAGGCCAACTGTAATGCTGAGTGACACATTGTGTTATCACTCGGTGCACACAAAAAGATAAACCATCTCTTTGCAGAAGCTTTATTCTTTGGATGATTCCTACAGTTTCTTATTTTTCTTATTCATGTGTTAGAATGTGTCCTAAAAACAGGGGGGCTGCCAGAGATTTTGGGCCCCATGAAAAAATATCAAGTTGGGCCCCCTGGGGGCTCATCCATAGCTGGAGCTGGGGTTCCACCCTCCCAGATTCGAAGGGAGAAAAAAATATAATACATATACTTTATATTAGTGTTTCAGTTTTGCTTGATTATGTACGTCTACATGCATTCTTACTTATTTACATATCATTTTCATCAGCTGTCTCTCATTAAACAGTGAATTTCCTTCAACAGAATTAGCAATATCACTTCTGGAAAAAGCAGGAAATGCACATGCTGAAAGGTGTTAATCTCCTTTTCCCTTTTGCTCCCTTAAAATGTTTTTATTTATTCTAAAATTTTATTTGATGATAAAATACAAATTTGGATATCTAATTAAATTTCCATGTTGTGTCAAAGCTTTATATAACTACATTTTCAGCTGTCTTTCCTCTTGAAATCAAGTATTTCTGTATGACTGATAAAAATTAAGGATTCACTGCTCATAAGGTAACTTCTTTATTAAGTCTCCACGGCTTCATCACAGACACAAAATGAATAAGCTTACAGTTCAAACTGGAGTCAGTTAGGGTTACATAAAATTTGAAAGTTGGACAACTTTATAATACGTATATAAGTCTCTAGAAACCCATTTTTCTCAACAACAAAAAAAAAAAACAGCTAAAAAATATATTCAGCCTTGATTGTACACAGCAAGATTTATTATTTTCAGTGATATAATAATGCTCAATAATGACCAATACTAGATTTCATATTTTATTGTGTTGAATGTTATATTAAGTTTATTACAATTATTAATAGCTTTTGTTTCAGTTTTGCTCTCTGATGAATTATTTGGAAATGACTGATTTTTGGTTTGTGTTTTAAAAGCTACATAAACAAATTACATCTTGTAAAACCTCCCATAATTCAGTCAGATTCAAAACATTTCATTTCAAGGTATTTAGTAGATGAAGAGGTTTTGTTTTCTCTTGTATGGTGCCTTCAAAAAGGTGCTTCATAGTAATAATCTCACAGTAATTTATGTTACATTAACAGACTAAATAACAATGCTTCAACCTGCCCAGCATCAAAAACAATCTTTACATTTTTAGTGATTAATATATATAATTATCATTATGTGGAAAAACAATGTGTTTATCACCAAAAATAGCCTTTTTATATTCTTTTGTAATAGTACTGATAGAGAAGAGAGCCTTAAGTGATCCCCACAGACCCCCTTAAATGAGGCTGCTAGCTAGCATGCTACATTGCTCACCTTCTTGAGGTTCATTGGGTTGTGAGGGGACACCTGCTGACATATCATCAGCTGCTGATTCTGGTAGGGACAAGGACAACCCACCATAATTAGATGAAACATAGTTCCTCTCACTGTGGATATCAGAGCTAGCAAACAGGTTGAATTTAACCACTCACTAACTAAACCCACCTTTCTTTGACAAAAACTGTGTGACATACTGACACCCTCTCTTCTGCCTGTCCTCTTTCTCCTTTCTTTACTTTTCTGTGACCCAGACTTTTGTTTTTGCAGGCATATTTACTGCAGCCTTGATGCACTTGGCTGTCTGACTGCTGCGTGAGCTGGCCTTGGCTGCTATGTGCCCCTCGGCCAGGTGGACTGTACCATTTTATGCCGTGTGTGTGTGTGTTGGTGGGGATGTGGGGGGGTGGGGGGGTGGGGGGAAGTTCAAATTAGTCAAAATAAAGTAGAGACCTCTGAATAAATATACATTTCATAAAGACTAAAAGTTTTTTTGTTTAATGTTGTAAATGAGAAAAAATACTGCAAAGTACTTGTGATTTTTAAACTTAAGTTTTTTTTAATTCGACTTCGAAACACTTTTGGACCCTTGACAGCTGTGGGCCGTTAGAATCTTCCTAATCTTTCACCACTTTACAGCACCCCTGCCTAAAAAGCCTAAACATTCCTCATAGGTTTCAGAATATATGAAGGATTTGTGAAGAATATTAGAAATGTATTAAAAACTAAAGCATGTGTGTTTTCATTAAAGACAATGATTGGCATGTACGTGTGCTCAAATAAACAACTGGAAAATCAGAAATCAGTTAGAGAAAGTTTCTCACATCAGAATGTTTTTCATGGCTGATTAATAATATTTAAACATGTGTCCACTTGTAATGGTAAGTAAATAGAAACACTGTCCCATATTCTCCAATTGTTCTAGTCACTTTTGGACCAATTATTGTTAAATCAGAAAGAAGAAAGCACATATCCATGTAGTTCTTAATGGAAACGTACTATCCAGGTTCAAAACTGTTTTTTTAGGGAATAAAGTTTTCATCAATTTTTGTTTTAATACCGTATTTTCCGGACTATAAGCCACTACTTTTTTCCCACGCTTTGAACCATGCAGCTTATAATGAGGTGCGGCTTTACTGAAGATTTTCCTTCACCTGCCAGGGGAGGGACACACACACACACACACACACACACACACACACACACACACACACACACACACACACACACACACACACACACACACACACACACACACACACACACACACACACACACACACACACACACACACACACACACACACACACACACACACACACACACACACACACACACACACACACACACACACACACACACACACACACACACACACACACACACACACACACACACACACACACACACACACACACACACACACACACACACACACACACACACACACACACACACACACACACACACACACACACACACACACACACACACACACACACACACACACACACACACACACACACACACACACACACACACACACACACACTTTCTTAGTAAATATTCTATTTGGGAGAGATAAACTTTATTGTATTTATCCTAGTGAATCTATAATTAAATGGGTGAACTAGCAGTAGCACATCCAACGTCAAGGAAAGCAAACGTTATCAGGAGAGGGAGAATGTTTAAGTGATTAGCAGCAGTGTGCTAGACAATGGCCCCCTCCATGAAGCCACCACAGCTCAGCAGAACATCATTGTAGCTTCTTCTGGGGAGAAAAAACACTTAGAGAAAAAATAAAGTTAACAGCTGAAATTGAAGAAAATACAGTTAAAGAGCAGACTGTAGAAGAAAGTAGTAGAGTGTGAAAAGTGGTCAGTGTATCCTCCAGCAGTCTAAGCCTTCTAAACATGCATGCAAATACCGGTAATAACGTTGTCAGTTCTATTTTTATTTTATAACCATCCAGAAATATGAATGCCATCAGCAGTGGCAGTGCCAGGGGGGTGGCAGGGGGCACTATAGATAACCCTGGGTTAGTCATTGCACCCCCAAGTAAATATTAGATATATATTTTTTTTACAATTTAATTTTAATGTAACGTGTGGATGTTATAATATTTAACATACAAAACAAAAATAAGTAATATTAAAGTAATTATAAAAAATAATCAGTAAATTATTATATAGATAGTAAAAACTTAAACCAAAACAGGGAATTGATGTTAACCTTTGACCTCATTTTCCACCTGCGAACGAGTGAAAGGTAGAGCTAGTGGTAAAATGGATCAGTTATTGTTGCCCAAATTTCCACGTGTTCAGTCAGAAACGAATGAATCTTTGGAAGTGATCTCAGACCCACAAAAACCTACGGATCTGGATGAAGAGAGTCAACCCTCAACCGCCGCAGCAGTCGAGGGTTTTGCCACTGGAAATGCTAACACTAACGTTAGCTAACCTTGCAACACTATACATGGTTTTCTGTGTGGCTGTATGTGTTTATGATTTCATGGAAAAGTCAGCAATTGTTCACATGTTTATGATGTATATTAATGATTGTTCAGGTGTTGAGGTTTTGTGCACGCATGTGTATCTGCTAGTGTTGAAGGTGTTTTAGAGAATAGGTACGCATGACCACTTCCTTCATAGCACCCTTAATAAAAAGACTAGCTCCTTCATAGCAACTGCAGAAAAAAAATTTCTGGAGCCGCCACTGGGTATCAGCGTTTTCGCTTCTAAACTTGCAGGCACGTTCACCCGTGTTTAAAATTTGTTTTGTTGAATTAAAACAACAACGAAAAATTTCCGTGTAGTGTCTTTCTGTCTGTCTAATTATCTTATGTTAAGGCCATACATGCGCTGTGCGCTGGAGACCTGCATGTGGCTGCTGCGCCACGGCCTTTATTTGAGTGCGGCATGTGTGTGTAGAAAACTGTTACATACCCCCCAGTCTAGGGTATAGGGGAAGCAACATGACAGTCACTATAATGGAGGAGGCCAGTCTGCTAAAGAGCAAAAAGTTTATTTGCTGAAGGTTGTGTATAAAAAAAAAAGAAATGTGGGGGAAAAGATGGAACCTGTGAGTTGACCAAATAAATGAAATAAATAAAACAAAAACACACCCTAACTGAATTCTTAACCTTGAAAAAAAAAGAGAAAGAAACTCCTAACTTACTTAGCTGCAAAATGGTGTTCAAAAACCAGTACAAGGGAGGTACTACCCACACTTACCTTGTGTTTGTAGACATCCAGACCACGTGTGCAGATGTACAGGGTACCCCATATTACCTGGTCCACAACCTTCTCACCACATACCTGGCAGCCAGCTTTAAATGGACTGCAGCTTCAACTTTACACTAAAGAACAGGGACAAACAAGCTCTGGGCTCAAAGGCAGGATCAGAACAAAATGGCTGCAGTTTACATCAGGTGTAGGCTATTTAAAGGCAGGCTCCACAGCTGATTGGGCAACCAGGTACACAGCAGCCAATCACTGACAAAAAGGGAAGGTTCACCTCAGTGTAGCAGGCAACTTGAACCTGGAAAAGAAAACAGTTATAGAAACTGCCAGCAAAAGCGCTTTGCACGTAACAAAAACATTTTTTTTTGTTGTTGGTGCGGCTCATATTGAGGTGCGCTCTATAGTCCGGAAATTACGGTACATTAATGTACAATATACAATTCTGTCTTTATGTGAAATTGATCCAACTGTTGTTTATCGATCTAACAGCTTCTGTTTCGACAAATCCTTTGTTGTTGTTTTTAAAAGTAGAACTTATCTAAATAAAATGTATTATTAAAAAATGAAGATTAAAATAAAAAAGAGGAAAAGAAAAAAGAAAGTTAAAACTGCTGCCTTGTGTGGGTTTGTTTCTCTCTAGTGGTAAATCCAGCAAACTGCACAAAGTTTTTCTACGGGGTTCCTGATCCGAACAGGGATGAGACCAATATTCATGTAACTTATTAAAATCATTTTAAAAGTCCGAATTCTGTAGGGAAAATTGAACAGTGAAAAATTTTGAACAGGCCCCTTACATTACTTTTGCACAAGAAGAAGAAGAAGAAGAAGAAGAAGAAGAAGAAGAAGAAGAAGAAGAAGAAGAAGAAAGTTTATGGATTTCCTCTGGTTAAACGTCTTGTACACATTGATTGATACTAATGTAGACAATAAAGGATCATTAGATAAATCAGAAAGCTGTTGAAACCTTTTTATAATCCAACACAGTCTAATGCATCACTGTGCTTGAGCTCCTCAAAACATTTCCTAACTATCCTAAGGCCTACATTCACAATGAGGTGTGGTCAAAGGGAATTCTGTAGAGTTTTATATTCTCGTACTCATGTTCCTGAATGCTGCTAGTTCGTACGTCATTATGATTTCATTTCTGCCTCTCCCACCTAATTACATGTTCCTTTTACATCTGGTTTTTATTTTAAATTAAAACCACAACTGTCAACATGCTGAATGCTCTAAACACAAAAGAACCTAATCCTACCACAATACCCTGATAAGAACACCTAGAGCGTTGGTATAGCACTACATTCTTCAGATTTCCTTTCTGCATTTCATCTGGATCACTAATCTGATTCGGGTGATAAATGTTCTTTCCACAGCTGAATCATGGGAATGTTTCTGGGAAGGTTTCTTATTTTTCGTCTTTTTGAAAAAGGGGTGTGTGTGTGTTGGGGGGGGGGGGCTCAAAACTCTCAAAACAGGAAGAGGGATTATCAGTGAGTCAGCTTTCAGGATGAGAGCAGCATCCCGGTAACCCCAAGAATGTACACAGACCATTCCATTTTTTACACAGTAAAAGTTTTAGTTGGAAACTACTTTTAAACAGAAAGCAGACCATTCTTTTGTTGGAAAAGCATTTTATCTTCATAGCGCATGCCACAAATTCCACGAGAAGCAATCTGCATCAAATAAACAAAAGATAATGAATTGATGAATGGAGCCTAAATTCATCGCCATGACAACGGGTCTTTCCAGTACGCTGAGTTCACACAACAGTGAGCACACACTTGCCAGCAGAGGCGGTGAAAGAGGACGAGCTAGAGGAAGTTGCACCACATATTAGAGATGTCCGACTACAGCGGAAAATGTGTTCCTAAAAATACTGATTTCACATGAGGAACTCTTTACAACCTGATGTTCTTAGAGATTTTCCAAATCTCAGCTACAAAATGAAATCCTCTTGAATGTCCTTTTGAAATGTGATAAATTTGGCTGGAAGCTCAATGAGTGATGGGTGATTTATATGATACTCGCTTGTTCCCTGTGTAACTTCATAATCCATTACTTTGTTCTTTTTTTACGCAGCTTAGTAAAAAATAGGGACTGTGTCATCCCGGATAAATGGAAGTGATGCCACCAACACCGGTGAACTCTGATGATGGCTAGAGTCACTAGCCAAAACATAATGTAAACTATGTTTTACTAAGCTGTGTAAAAAAAAGAACAAAGTAGTGGATTTTTATATAAATTGCTTCTGTTTGTTGAAATGGTTTTTCCAGTCTAAACTTAAAAAAGGTCAAAAACCTTTCTCATGCTCATCCAACACATTTTATCATATAAAACATCCAAATCAACTACTATGTAAAAATATGGAGTAAAAGAAGTTGCAAAAATTTAATTAAATATCCCAAAAATGATTAAATGGAATTTTAAAATGACCAATAGGCTCAGGGCTTCTTGTCTGTCCAAGTCAATATACTCCCAAAGCAGGTAAATGAAGAGACCAGTCTGTCATTTCACCATGACAGGTTGGTACAACGCCCGCAGTACTGTAGACGCAGCACCAATCCGCCTATTGATCTCACACTCTGTCCAGTCCACTCATGAACAAGACCCAGAGATCCTTGAAACTCCTCTACTTGGAGCAGGACCTCATCCCTGACCCGGAGAAGGCATTCTACCCTTTTCTAACTCAAGACCATGATCTCAGATTTAGAGGAGCTGATTCTCATCTGAGCTGCTTCACACTCGACTACGAACTGCTCCAGTGAAAGCCGAAAATCACGTTCTAATGAAGCCAACAGGACCACATCATCTGCTAAAAGCAGAGACCTGATCTTCAGGCCACCAAAACGGATGCCCTCAACACCTTGGCTGCACCTAGAAATCCTGTCCATAAACATTGTGAACAGAATCAGTGACAAAGGGCAGCCTTGGCGGAGTCCAAATGCGGAAATGCAGACCAAGCTCTTACACTGGTGATAGAGGGACCTAACAGTCCTTATCAGAGGGCCTGGTACCCCATACTCCCAAAGTCCCCCCCCCCCCCCCCCCCCCCCCCCCCTCCCGAGAGACGCTGTCAAACGCCTTTTCCAAATCCTCTAAACAAATACACATAGATTGGTTGGGCAAACTCCCATGCACCCTCCAGGACCCCCCTAAGGGTATAGAGCTGGTTCATTGTTCCACGGCCAGGACGTGTTCTACAAACAGACGGACCCTCCTCTCCAGAACCCCCGAATGAATCTTTCCATTTATGTTGCTCATCATAAGGGGTCTTTGGGCTGTGCTTTGTCTGATCCCTCACCTAGGACCTGTTTACCATGGGTGACCCTACCAGAGGCATAAAGCCTCAGAAAACTTAGCTCCTAGGATCATTGGGACAGTCAAACCCCTCCACTGTGGTAAGGTGGCAGCCCATACTGATTTATACTGATTTAATTTAAATAAATGAAAACAATTAAGAATCAGCTTGTGTTTTTATATGGAGCTGATTATTTTCCATGAAGAATAGGTGGAATCAGTGATCATGCCATAAGATTTAAGATTTATTTAAACTTAAACACACAGGAACATTAAGAGTAAAATAAAACTAAATATAAAAGGGAAACAATTGTGTAATTTCAATCAATCGTGAAAGTTGTTATGATTCTGTTATAACTATGTTATTATCAGATATTAACCTAGATTCCTGTGTTTTTTTTAGTGTGGATACACTAGAATGAACATGAACGGATCACAAAGAGGTCATGACAATACAATACAATAATTTCAACTCAAACTTTATTTGTATGGCCCTTACAGACAAAAAATATGCCACCAAGCTTCTGTACAGGCATAAATAAAACCAAAACGTGTTAGTGATGATGTTCAAATGCTTGTAAATAATGTTGCATTAACTATTGTAATTATTGAGATGTGAGAAGATGGTGAAATTATCATGTTCTTTTTCACAAATATGAGAGCACTCCTTTTGCACGACTGTCCAGCCAATACTGCTGTTGACACGTAAAATCACTGTTCTGATTTAAATAACACTCCCAGTAGTGATCTTTTTTATTTAGTTGTTAGTTTAAATAGTGAATTAAAAAGGTCAAGGTCCTTCACACGTAATTTTCTGGTCTACAGGCATCTGGTTTAAATGTGTAAAAAAGGGCAACATTAGGACAAACCCAAAAATGACATCATGGTCACCCAGGTGTTCAACGATAAACAACACTAAACATCCAGACTGCTTGTTTCTGCATCAAAAACTCACAACTACTCACATTTTGACCCAGTATGATGTTAAATTTAGAAATGACTGAAAAGAATAATAATCAGAACAAAAACATGGAAGCATTAATTTTGTTTTATTGAAATTGAGCTCTAAAACAACAATGCATCAAATATGAATACTTCTTCTACAGCGTCACAAAAACACGTGAGATATTCTATATGAGCGTTAACTCCACCCTTGTTATCTGTTTCTCAGTGGTTTCCTGTGTGAAAACAGTTCAGATGTCTGGGCTGATGGGGACAGTAACAGATGACACACTCTTCACCTTTCCTCCTACAAGAAAACACATTGTAATTTTAAAATGTGCACAGATAATTCTTAATGATTCAGCAAATGAAGTAAAGTTATGTACAAAAGGCTGACCTGCTTCCTGAGTGAACACTTGTGTGTTTCTGAAAAGCTGCCAAGAGCAGCTTTACGAGCATGCCGAGATCTGGATCCAAAGAACTTTGTAACAGATGTGATTTACGGGCAGCTCACAAACACAAACATCAACCTTTACTTTTACTCAAAACACTTTTATCCAGCATCACATAGATTAAATAAACACGACAAAGGGACTCAGTCAGGCAACAAAATCAGTTCAGAAAGGGAGAAAAGCAGCAGGGTGGGGCTATAGCCCCCCTCTACATTCAGTCAGAAATAACCAGAAATGTGACCTTGTGGGAGGCATAAACGGGGCAGAGGGACCAGTGGACAGGGCCAGCAACAGGACCGCTACATCTCAAGAGCTCTACGTGCGAAGGAATGAAGAAAGAGCTGACTCCTGAAATGAATCAAGAACTGACACAGAGCAGGAAGAATGTGAGTGTGTGAAAGTTTGGACAGAGCTGGAAACTTTCAGAGGATTAGTGAGGCTGCAGCAGGAAGGGTGTCATACGTAAAATACAACCGCACTCTTCACCCGTCTGCTCATTCAGCACCAGCCACAACCAGAGGTAAGTTCTGCTAAAAGACACGTCGTCCTGATCTGCTGTAACCATGATTATTTCTGTTATACGTGTGGAAAATTACATTTTTGATTGTTAAACAAAAAGATAAAGAAGTCACTGATAAAGGCAGAAAAATAGCTTTTAAATCTACTTTATTTTAACTTTAGCATTGGAGGGGGGCTTTAAGTTACTTTTTACTAATTTTTATGGGCTGTTTGAAAACTAAGACTGTTTTCTGCTATTTTAACTTGCTGGTTCCCATTTTTTGTGACAAAAGGAGGAAAAACAACCTCATCTATTGTTGAGGAAAAGGGAATACTTTGATCATCACATCAAAGGTTTTAAAATGCAGACATTATGGTGTTAGAGGAACAATGGGACATGTGAAGCCACATGGTTTTGCTTCACACTGAGCATTATCTACAGGTGCTGGCCAGTAAATTAGAATATCATCAAAAGGTTGAAGATATTTCAGTAATTCCATTCAAAACGTGAAACTTGTACATTATATTCATGCAATGCACACAGACCAATGTATTTCCAATGTTCATTACATTTAAATTTGATATTCATAAGTGACAACTAATGAAAACTCCAAATTTGGTATCTCAAAAAATTAGAATATTCTGAAAAGGCTGAATATAGAAGACACCTGCTGCCACTCTAATCAGCTGATTTACTCAAAACACCTGCAAAGGCCTTTAAAAGGTCCCTCAGTCTTGTTTTGAAGGCACCACAATCATGGGGAAGACTTCTGACTTAACAGCTGTCCAAAAGACAATCATTGACACCTTGCACAAGGAGGGCAAGACACAAAAGGTGATTGCTAAAGAAGCTGGCTGTTCGCAGAGCTCTGTGTCCAAGCACATTAACAGACAGGCGAAGGGACGGAAAAAATGTGGTAGACAAAAGTGTACAAGCTCTAGGGATAACCGCACCCTGCAGAGAATTGTGACGACAAACCCATTCAAAAATGTGGGGGAGATCCACAAAGAGTGGACTGCAGCTGGAGTCAGCGCTTCAAGAACCACCACGAGGAGACTCATGAAAGACATGGGATTCAGGTGTCGCATTCCGTGTGTCAAGCCACTCTTGAACAAGAAACAGCGCAAGAAGCGTCTCGCCTGGGCCAAGGACAAAAAGGACTGGACTGATGCTGAGTGGTCCAAAGTTATGTTTTCTGATGAAAGCAAGTTCTGCATTTCCTTTGGAAATCAAGGACCCAGAGTCTGGAGGAAGAGCGGAGAAGCACAGAATCCACGTTGCATGAGGTCCAGTGTAAAGTTTCCACCGTCAGTGATGGTGTGGGGTGCCATGTCATCTGCCGGTGTTGGCCCACTCTGTTTCCTGAGGTCCAGGGTCAATGCAGCCGTCTACCAGGAAGTTTTAGAGCACTTCATGCTTCCTGCTGCTGACCAACTTTATGGGGATGCAGACTTCACCTTTCAACAGGACTTGGCACCTGCACACAGTGCCAAAACCACCAGCACCTGGTTCAAGGACCATGGTATCCCTGTCCTTGATTGGCCCGCAAACTCGCCTGACCTTAACCCCATAGAAAATCTATGGGGTATTGTGAAGCGGAGGATGCAATACGCTAGACCCAACAATGCAGAGGAGCTGAAGACGACTATCAGAGCAACCTGGGCTCTCATAACACCTGAGCAGTGCCACAGACTGATCGAGTCCATGCCACGCCGCATTACTGCAGTTATTGAGGCAAAAGGAGCCCCGACTAAGTATTGAGTGCTATACATGCACATTCTTTTCATGTTCATTCTTTTCAGTTGGCCAACATTAGAGAAACAAACATTTTTTCATTGGCCTTTAGAATATTCTAATTTTCTGAGATACCAGATTTGATGTTTTCATTGGTTGTCACCTATAAATATCAAAATTAAACGTAATAAACATTGGAAATACATTGGTCTGTGTGCATTGCATGAATATAATGTACAAGTTTCACGTTTTGAATGGAATTACTGAAATATTTTCAACCTTTTGATGATATTCTAATTTACTGGCCAGCACCTGTAATTGTTTCATGTCATGTCAGGGTTAGGCCTGTTCCTGATCATTTTTCACGTGAGAACCAAAAACATAACTCCAATATAGTTTGTTGGTCAAGTCAGTTGTTTATTGCTCTACAGACAAACAAAGAGGCGTGCTGTTACTGAGTGGAAATGTAGAGTTAAAAATGATATTCTGGCATTTGGATGATTAAACACACAGTTCAAATTTGTGTCAAAACAAGCTAATGAAACACAACACCTTTCTTCTTCCGGCTCTTGGAGAGTACAGAAGCTTTTTTCCCTCCTCTCCTCCCTATCTTATCCCAAGGCTCTTTGTCTGTCTTTGGGTGCACGGCTGCTTCTGCATTTTTCTGGAAACTGGAAAATGAAATTACTAAAATGGACCTGGTCAGTTGGTCACTTAACGCGAGTGACAACATTTTTTCAACGATGAGAACGGGAGAAGGGGCTCCCGGGTGCCCCACTGGGACAGAGCCAGCTGGGCATATCATGGACTCCTGAAAACAGTGGAACCTGATTTGCCTATCTCAGCTGTCTGTAGAGGATTCTGAAGACGTCTGGATATTTGTGGTGTTGGTGTCAGGTTTCCTGCTCTTTGGCCTAGAAGACTTCCTGGCTTACTGGAAAATTAACAAGCTGTCGAAGAATATTGGCGCTCTCCCCGAGCTCAGGGATGGATTACACCGCGCTGTGAATTCACAGACTCATATAATTGTCGAGATGAGTCGTAAGCTTGGAACTTTGGCTGAGATTCATGCGTTGGCACAAAAGATGGATGCCATCAAGGAGCGAGTGGATGAATCAGCACGGATTGGGAAAGATTAATTTATGACATTATTGGGATTTTGAGAGGTTGAGGACCAACGGAACTTTAAGACATAGAAGAAATTATCTCTGTCTGGCCCCAAAACAATTTCTAATCTGAATCTGGTGCCCTTGAGCCTGTGAGGCTGCAACAAATACTCCCCCCTCAGAAGAAATGTGGAATGCTGCCGTCGCTATGGCAACTCTGTCTCCCTATCCCAGCCTGGGCGGGACTGCGAGCTGTGAAGGCCGCCGAATTGTTCCAGGAGTCAATGTGCCCTCCAAACCCCAACAACCTCCCTAACCTGTCCAGACTGAGGTGACATGCGCTGCTTATTGTGGCTGCAGCCACTGACGTGTGGAGAGTCTCAAACCCTACCACCCCACCTAGTGAACACTTATGTTGTGTGATGTCTGAAGTCGGTTGCATTTCTGTCTGAGGTGTTTTTTGCATAGCAAAGCTTCCCTCCCTGTGGAGGGTAACTCTGAAGTGCCTTTTTTCCCTCCACCTGACCCAGTCCTCATGTAAACCCTCTGATCTCTATTAAGGTAGCGCGACTAAGGGTTGCGAATGACCACAGTCACCAATTCTTGTCACGTGTCTTTGCCTATATGTATGTCTGATCTCTGAATTGTGTGTACTGAAACTCTAAGTTCCCTCTGAGATTAATAAAGTATCTTTGAATTGAACTGAATTGAATTGATGAATCTCTAATGTTCACATAAAGAAATCTGCAACAAGGAGTAGTCTTTGCTGAAATTTACTAAATCTGATGTAATTGTGTTTTAATAATTCTGAAATAGCACATTCTTTAAACTCAAATGTAGATAATTTGTGCTGAAACTGCGACCAGCCGTGGTGCCTTTTACAATTTCTCTCTCTCTTAAAAAAAAAAGAGGTGTGCTCCTTACAACTGACCTCATTTGAGTCTCATTTGAAATGACTTCCTTTCAACGGAAGAAACTGCCCCCAAAAGGGTCTCAGCCACTGAGAAACAGCTCACGTCTCCCAGAAGAGAAGTGGGTCATTACGCTGGCACAACTTGGTCCTCTACCTCCGGCGTATTTACCAGCAGGAAAAGCTGCTCCAACCTAAATCAAGTGTCGGCCATCGATGGTGGTGCTCTAAAACTACAGATAAACACAAATCCTGAGGAGATGGCTCGATGCTAAAGGCCACTAAAGTGTTGTGAATCAGCAGTCAGGGGTGTTGGTAATGTTGGCAGGCGGCCCTGCTCTCCACAGGCAATGCTGCGTCCATTTGTACAAAAACAAGAGTGCTGAGGCTGCAGTTTATACACTGCTACTAATTAGAGTTGCCTCCAGCGTAACTTCCTGATTATAGCAGATTTAAAAGTCCCTTTGTGCTGCTAAAAGGAGAAGAAACACAGTAGTCAGAAGGAAACTCAGTATTCATGTTGCAGGAAAGCAGATTGCTCTTTTTTACTAATGAATGTTTGCAGAACAGTTTGGATTTCCAGATGAACAAAAACACCAAATCTTTAACAAGGAATGATTTTTAGATCAGGAAAAAGGAGCAACATTGGACATGTTCACTGTAAAGACCGCACCGTACATTAAGACATTGTAAGACCGGCCCTAATTTAAATGGGGCTCTATCATGTGCATTTTTGATGAGCTTGGAAATAAATCTTATAGAGGTAACAGCCCGGCTGTAAGTGACTCTGAAAAACAGATGTTTGTTGAGACTTTTCTTATCTCATAAACGTTTTTGGAGGAATCATGAGGTCACTCACATGGTAACATTTTCCCCAGAATGTCAAGAAATAAAAAACATACACGTTGTCAGTGTTGGGCAAGTTACTTCAAAACAGTAATGCATTATTTATTACTTGTTACCCTCATTTTAAAGTAATTCATTACATTACAATATTACTGATTTTAAAATGTAAGGCATTACACTACTTTTGCATTACTTTAAGTTACTTTCACCAAAACAACTTCAATATGAATCTGGTAATCTGACGCTCAGTGAGCTCATGACATATATGTGGAAAGTGATGTGGTGTCTAAGCTAGGATTGCTGTTAAAAACAGTCAGATATAATAACAGTGCTTTAAAATGATTGTTTATTAAATAAAAGCAACAACAAACTGCACTCTCAGCACGCTGCCATCTTATATTAACTGAGCAGGGAGTGAGGTGGTGGGGGCTCCAAGCCTATATTTGCCTTGGTCCCCAAATGCCTTGATACGGCCCTGGATGTGGGACTGACTTCTGGGGTGATCTGATTCTATCACATGTATAAATATTAAATGCTTATATATTATTGCTTTTCACTGTTAAAATGTGTATTGAGGATAAATCTACCTACTTTTTTTCTTTTCAAGCACTTTGTTTTGTTTTCTTGATTTTATTTGAATAATTTCCTGCCCTTTCTCTCTTTAACCTTCCTGCATGCTGCATGTTTTCTCCGTCTTCCAGAAAAAACTGTTTCCTAGACTTCGTACTTTCTATCAGCCAGAGGGATATTCACGTGCGCAGCGCACCAGCAGTAATGAGTTGAAATCACCGCGGCACAGATTATGAACTCAGCTGAGGCAAAGCACGTCAGAAAAGCACAAAATGCCAGAGAATATGCGCTGATATGAACGATCGCAGGTGAATTATTTTGTTTTAGTGGAGCGATTTTGTGAATGTTGCAGCGGCCGCGGGCAGACGCAGCTGGAGTATTTGAGCCGTTACCGCGACGTCCTCTCTGCCTGCAAAGCTGAGTCCATAAATGACGTAATATATGCAGATACTGGATCTTTCTTCGGGTTTCCCGCAATTCGAATTTTTAAGGAACACATCTTGATTCTGGGTTTAAAAATGCATTGTAATTACCGCGTTACTGACAATTGTACCGAGTAAATATTACCATTTTATTTCCCTGCATGCCTTACATTACCACATTACAGCAAAAAGCAATGCATTACAGTAATTAATTACTTTTGTACCGCATTACTCCCAACACTGCACCTTGTACTGATCAAAGAAAGAGCGGTAGATGTGTGAATCTGTTTTAGGCACTTGACAATTAAGCTTTTTTACACTAATGTATTTGTTTTTCAGTTAATCCATGACTGAAGACTTTTCTGAAGTGACACCATGTGAGGGAAAGATTAACATTGTCAGATTAAACTGCTTTAAAAGGCAACTTCATTAAAAATAATTCTTTTAAAGATTATCCCTGATTATAATCTGTCACAGTTTTTCATGCGGGCTGAACATTAAGACAGTCTCCTACACCTTCCTCCTGCATTAGCTTCTGATAGAAAATAGACGGTGAAACTCTTAAAAATCCTGACAGATCTACGTCCCCCTGTCACTTAACATATATGGACTCACCCTTCTGGACTCACGACGGGGAAGGCTGTTTTTGGTTTAGCATCCAGGAAACAGCAGACAATATCTCAGCTAGCAGAAGCTAACTGTTAGCATTAGCAACTTCACCACACAGCAGAACTTCTGCAGGCTTGTGTAATTTGTGGAGATAAAACGTGAATGAGCAAATGGAGTCAGTGGTAGAGTCGCATTAATGTTAGCCAATCAGAGGTGAGATGTCCAAATGTCAGGAAATCATGCTCCAAATTCCTGTCGTGTTTCTGCCACTCTCTCCTCCAGCTCACTTCTGCATCCTCAAACAGGGGCACCGGAGTTTATTCCCCCAGAGTACGACTTACAAGGCATTCATTCCTACTACAGACCACTGCAAATGAATGAAAAATATGAGTTCAGTTGACATTTAAAATTCACGAGGAAAAGATGAATAAAATACAAAATGTTTTCACAAGAGTACTACCGCAGTGATTTATATTATAAATGAATTGGAGTAATTGAATTTACTATCAACTTTATGTAATTCTAACTTATTGTACACAAATTCTGTAGACACAAGTGTTTTGGGGGGAATTTGGAAAAGTCAATTAACTTTTTTGTTTTGTTTTTCCATTCTAGAACAGAAATGGATCTACCAGTGGCGACACCTCACGTTCTACTACTTCTCTGCTCCCTGAGTGCTGTTATTTGGGCATGTCCTGATGGATGCAAATGTTTACAATCAAATGTCTTCTGCAGTGGTCTGGTGGACTTCCCCACAGCTCTGCCCTCATTCATCACCCAGATCTTCTTCTCAGAATGCAAGTTTTCCTCTTTGAAACAGGAAGACCTCAGTGATTTCTCAAGTTCTCTCCAGACCTTTAGAATTAAAGATACCGTTTTGAGGGAGGTGCGCCCTGGCACATTTGATTCTTCTCCAGACCTGAAAGCCTTACTCCTAACTGGCACAGAACTACAAGATCTTCCTGAAGCCTTGTTTCAAAAGCTTCAGAGACTGGAATATTTGTCTCTGATGTTAAATAAGCTGTCAGTAGTTCACCCTCAGTGGTTTTCCTCATTGACAGAGATGGAAAAACTTGACCTCAGTAAAAATGCTATCACAATAGTGCCTGAGGAAACATTTCACCCGATGACAAAGCTGCTGTATCTATTCCTTTCTGGAAACAACATCAGTCACATTTTCAGTGAGACGTTCAAGGGTCTTTCTAAACTGAAAATTTTACGCCTCAACCAAAACAAACTCCGTGAACTCCCTGTTGGTAGTTTGGATGACCTTGTAAACCTGGAGGAACTGTCTCTACAGCACAATCTGATCACTCATCTACATCATGACATGTTCTCCAAAAATCTGAAGCTGCAGAAGTTGTTTTTGTCCTCAAATAGGCTGACATCACTTCCACAAGGGATCTTCTTTAACCTGCCTCTCCTTTTCCAAATTTCCCTATATGAAAACCACTTGGGAAGACTGGGTCCAGGGGTCTTTGGGGCAATGCCTCTGCAGGAGTTGTGGTTGTATGACAACAAACTGAGTCATGTGGAAGACGACACATTCAAGAACCTGACCCAGTTGCGTCTCCTGGTGCTCAGTCGTAACCAGATCAGTCAGGTGTCTAAGGATGCGTTCAGAGGGTTGCAACAGCTCGGTGAAGTTTCACTGCACACCAATCGTCTGACAACTCTGCAAGCTGGGGTGTTCAGAGATCTGCCCAGTCTGGTCAACATTTCCTTAGAACACAACAATATCGCCTCCCTTCCTTTGGGTTTTCTCAAAGGACTGAGCCACCTGGGACAGATTGACCTGCGTAACAACTCCTTCCCTAACCTACCACAGGAAAGTCTAGATGCACTGTCCATTGCTGATGAAGTCCTACTGCAGTGGAACCCTTGGAGGTGCGACAGAAACATCTTGCCTCTTAGGGAATGGCTGAGACTTCATCCGTCAAAGACCAACCAATCGCTTGTGACATGCAGCATTCCTTTCACTCTGTATGGTGAACAGATTGACACGTTGACAGATGAGAACCTAACGCCATTTGCTTCTACTGAAGAGCCGGTGTTGACCTCAATCGATGTGAAAGGGAGACCATCTCCACCTATACGGAGCACTCCCTCAACTGCTGTGAAGACCACACCCTCCTCAGACAACGAGGTGACCAGTAGTGGACAAAATAATAACGGGACGACTAATAACACTTCCGTTATTCTAATTGCTGTTGCAGCGGTGTCTACAGTGATCATTGGCTCCATTTTAATTGCCTACATGATCAGGAGGAAAAACAAGAGTGGCAAGGGGAACATAGGGCGCAGGAATAAAAACTCTGTTCTGTAGGCGAGATTACTGAACCACAAGCAGCCAGAACTGTTCACAACTAAACTACAAAATGACAACTGTGTTTTCAGAGTTGATTGAAGATCCTTGAAGGCAACTTACCAGTCACTATTTCTCATTTTCATGCCTTTGAAACAGGAAGAATTTCTCAACCACTAATTGTAAACATTAATGCATCATCTTGTGGCAAAGCTGCACCTTTTTGGGAAGCTCAATTAAATGAGTGAATGGTATTTTGTAAATTTAAGGACATTTTTTGATGGCTCTGTAGCTGTTTGATAGAAAATGTTATGTAAAAACCAAACATTTTGTGAACAGATGAACTTACTGTTGAATTGGATGATACAGTGCATAATAAATCATGGTTTTACGTCATAGACCACTGTAACACACGCTTTGAGCTCTGTACATAGAAATAAACACACACCTGTTCTTGACAATCTAGCATTGTATTTGACTTTTTTTAAACTAACTTCACCCATGTTATGAATGGAAATGTGTGAGATCATCCTCTTAAATCTGAGGGATTCATTGTTTTTCACCATTTTCTCATTGTCCATTTTTACCGTCTTGCCCACTAAATGTAGTTTAGAGACATTTCAATTCCTACTGTCACACAAAAAGGAATTAACTAACTATATAAGAACATATCAGTTTTCTCAGAATGGTCCCCATATTTGTAAAATAAATAAATAAATAAAATGAGTTGTTTTGAGATAACTCAGACATTAAGTTTTACATTGATACTTAAAAAACATAATGAAAACATATAGGTTGTTGGCAATTTATGACCTAAATAAATCAAAAACAAGAATGTACCAGACTTTTAGAAGTAGTTTTTAAGTCTCTTTCTCTATATTGTAATAATTCATTGATTCTGATTTTACAAAAGTTTGGTTCAAAAGTATAGAAAATATTTAGTTTTCTGGTAATGTTTGGATACAAACACTTTAACGAACTATGAGGATGCCAGTTTGGCGAATCACAGCCTTTTAAACTTGTTTTTGGTGAAAACTTGAGCTGCTTTTGTGATGGGAAGCAACATTGATTTATCTATGTCATTCTGCTGTGGAAAAATCTGAACAGGAAAATTATTACATTCCCCCAGTTATATTGCCAATATAAATATTATTCAGATTACTGACATTTTATAGGTCAGAGTTACGAGAAACCTTTCAGAATATCTGGATCAGCAGTTGCAGGTTGCCCTCGATCATTTTCATACTGGCAATAATACTAGACAGTATTTGAATAGCCTGATTGGGACAATTTACATCTGTTTTAAGGCAACAGAATAGTTTTTCATTATATTTTTCCACAAAAAGGTAAACATGTTATTTTTTTTCATTAGACTGCCATCTAGTGGAAAAACATGAGAACATCATTAACAACAATTTCAAAACAGTCAAAAGAATGTGAATTCTTTTTTTCTTCTGCAAATATCTTGTTGAGGAAATTATGAAAAAAAAAACTGGAGACTAGAGATGAGTGAGTATGTTTGAAACAAACAGTGGACTCATTTACTGGATTTGAGGTTGGAACGTTTCATTAGGGGCCCTTTTGTGGAAGTTTTAAACTCACTACAGTTTAAATCAATGAAATAGATTATTTAAAATGCAAATGTCAACCTGAAATATTTACCTTAATGAAGGCAGAATCAATATAAACTGTATCAGCTTTTTCATCTATGAAGAGTGGTAGTAGTCAGTATTTTCTAAAACATCTATGATACGTCCGAGGACAAAAACAAAGAAAACCCAGTTAACTTGACATCCAGGAAAAGGGCAGAGAAATGAGTAACTGCGGTCCGTGTTCTTATCTCAAAAACCAGACGTGAGTTACGCCACACCTCATCCAGCCATCATTTACGGTCAGCTCACTTATGCTGTCAGATAGTTAATGAGACCAAGCTTGTTTGGGATTTCCCCAGAGTTTCATCCAAGAAAAAAGTTACCACTAGGTAAGACAATATTTTTGGAATTTTATATTTGTTTGTTCTAAAAAAAAAAGACAACGTAAAGCTCAATTACCATCCTACATACTGTAATGTGCCACCACATCTAGTCACAGTTTCTCTTTTTTTAATCATAGATACCAAGAATGCCAACTGGAGAGATTGTCTTACTTTTTCTGTCCCTACTTGACTTTTCAATGAGTCAAAGTGAAGAAATCAAAGAAAACCAGGAGGTTTTTGGTAAATCTGCGACAGAGATCCCTCGCTCTCTGAGATCTGGAGTGACAGAGGTTTTTTTTGTGGATAGTCAAATTGAAAAAATCCCTGAAGGGGCCTTTACTGAAAACCCCCAACTCGAGAAAGTGGAGTTTATGTCAACTGGCACGACATCCATTGAGGTGGGAGCTTTTGAAGGTTTGGTAAACCTCAAGAGTATTGAGATCTCCAACAATCCACTGATTTCTGCACCAGTGGGGATCTTCAAGGACACAACTAGTCTGGACACAATTATTCTGAAATTTAACAAGCTTCAAAGAATTGAGAAAGGTTTGTTTGAAGGACTGCCAAATTTAGCAGATCTTCAGATACATGGGAATGAGATTGAATTTGTCGAAGACCAAACCTTTGATGAGCTTATCAACCTAAAAAAGATCGATTTGGGTAAAAACAATCTCAGTGCGGTGTCAACAAGCTGGTTTTCCAACCTGAATGAACTGAAGGTTTTACGGATTTATGAAAATCAGCTGACCAGTATACCTGAAGATCTTTTCAAGAACTTACCAAATTTAGAGGAAATCGCTTTGCAAGGAAACAAAATAGATGAGCTGCCACCCAATCTGTTCCCACACAAAGACAAAATAAGTAAGCTGTTTTTGGATAATAATCATCTGACTAGTTTACCTGAAGGATATTTTGTTGGTTTCCCAAAACTCAAAACTCTGACGTTAATGAAGAACCAGCTGACCAGTCTGCCAACGGTCCTTTTTGGGGAAATGCCTAGACTGACTGATCTAAGCCTCCAACAAAACAATCTTAGCACTCTTCCAAAAGGAATACTCAGCCCTCTGAAGAAACTGAAGAAGCTGGATCTCTCTAAGAATCACTTCGTCACCTTGTCAGCTGATTCCTTTGAAGGCATAGAAAAACTTACTGAGCTAAATCTTCAAAACAACATGATTCAGACATTGGAGGCTCACCTGACTGAAAACCTGCCATCTCTGAACACACTCAAGCTTGCCTACAACAAACTCCAAAGTCTTTCTGGAGATGTTTTTGAAGCTTTAGCCAAACTGAAAAAACTTGATCTCAGTAACAACCCCTGGAGCTGTGACTGTAATCTTATAGATTTGTATGAGTGGATGAGACGGAATTCTGACAAGCTGACAGCTGAAGTGACCTGTGAGTCTCCAGAACACATGAAAAGGTTAGAAATTATTCTGTTAACTGAGGACCAGTTAATCTGCCCAACACTTCCACCCACAACCACAATACTAACAACCCTGGCAACCACACTACCATCAACAACAACCCTCCTTACAACCACCCCACTTCCTACTACAGAACCAACCACCACATTGCTAACCACAACACCCACTACCACCTCCGCAGCAACCAATTTGCCCACTACAACAAGCATCCCCACACCACCAGCAACTACCGCAACAACTGTGATTACGACTATGACTACAATTGCCTCAACCACCTGCATGACAACTATTCAGCCCACATTCACCCCACTTATGACAACCATCACCACCATTATCACAACTACCCCCACCACCACACTTATACCTTCAACTTCTGCTCCAACAACTATACCCACCACCAGTTTAACAACAATAATACTCACAACAAGAGCTATAACAACTACACACACAACTACTCAACCAACGACAACACTCACAACTACTCAACCAACAACCACACACACAACTACTCAACCAACGACAACACTCACAACTACTCAACCAACAACCACACACACAACTACTCAACCAACGACAACACCCACAACTAATCAACCAACAACCACACACACAACTACTCAACCAACAACCGCACACACAACTACTCAACCAACGACAACACTCATAACTACTCAACCAACAACCACACACACAACTACTCAACCAACAAAAACACCCACAACTAATCAACCAACATCAGTCACAACAACCCAACCAACAACATTTGTCACAACAACACAACTCACAACCACACAAACATCTACTCAGCCAACGATAATGAGTAAACCCGCAACCACAATGACAACAACAGGGACACCTACAACAGCTCTCTCACCAACCACCATCTTTTGGACCACCCAACCAACACCCAACACAACGGAAAGACTCTGTGCACCAATTCCTTTTTACATCGATCGGATCAGTAGAAAAATCCAGGAGTGCAAATTCTGGACTAAGATTTACATTGCACTGCTTGTGGTGGAGATAACCTGCACACTGGTGCTGGCGAAGTTCAGCATTTCGATGTATCGTTTGCTACAAAACAGAGAAAAAATAAAAGACAGGATCAAGCTCACCCACTTCTCCTACAGAAGAGAAGTTATAATGAGGCCTTTGGAGGAAGATGAAACTTGAGGGCTTTCACATCACAGTGATGTTTCTTTGACCCGCCAATGTACCATTAACCCTCCCACTGTCCTACTGGGTGACCCCGTGAGGAAAGTTGACCATTGAGCAGGATTGATGGTTTATTCCTTGAGGTCCACATGGCAGTGGTGAGGTGGTGCTCACTCCTCACCCCTGCCAGTGGGAGGGTTAAACTTCAAACAACCCTATAGAAACCATGTACATGTATACTTTGGATAGGATTATCTGTAGTCCCTGAAATATGAATGGAAGTTATAGTTGGTAGTGAAACATCAAGTGTGCAATGAATTTTGTTTTTATATAATATTAAATAAAGACATTTCTTATGCAACAAGCTGAATGAATTTGATAATTAGACATGTTGTGTGGCCGAGAGGGCTTCCAGGGCTTGTTTTATGATGTGGTGAGGTTAATTTTAAAGCCTTAAAAATCCTTATATTTATTTTGTATTGGGGCAGCAGGAGCTCAGGAGGTAGAGCAGGTTGTCCAGTAATTGGAAGACTGCAGGTTTGATTCTGGCTCTGACCAGAGAATGCTGCTGTTGTGTCCTTGGGCAAGACACTTAACCCACCTTGCCTGCTGGTGGTGGTCAGAGGGACTGGTGGTGCCAGTGTTTGGCAGGCCTCACCTCTGTCAGCATGCCCAAGGGCAGCTCACCATCAGTGTGTGAATGTGTGTGTGAATGGATAAATGATGCACGGCAGTGTAAAGCACTTTGGAGTCGTCTGACTCTGAAAGGCGCTATTATATATATATATATATATATATATATATATATATATATATATATATATATATATAGTTAGATTGTAAATATGTTGTACTGTTTCATTTATCTAGCTGAAGGAAGTAAGATTACTCAAAAATTTTGAACATTCTCTCCTTTTTTTACAGACACCTGACAAAATATTTCAGATACAAAGGCTGTGTTAATCTAGCATTACATAGTGTATGCCTGATTCTGCAAAACAAATGTCTGAAACAAACAAACAAACAAAAAATAAATCAGTAGATTGAAGGAAATGTAGTTTAAATGATTGTGGTGTTCCCAGCTTTCTTTTTTTTTTCTTTTTTTTTTTGCATTTTCTGAAAAAAGTTTTAAGTGTCAGCTGAAGGGCTTTTTTGCAGTCAATAATTGCTTGGAAACATCAGAATAAAAAAAAACTAAACCAGTGATCTCAACCTTCTTCTGTTTTTGAAAAGTAAAGCCAACATGAAACCAGGTCACTCTTGGAAATGAGACTGAATATAATTCTGTCTTTTGAGCATCAAATAAATAATTAAAGCCCAATTTTTAGAGGAATTCAAGAGTTTAACAGCAAGTCACCTACAAATAATTATTTTGCTGATAAACTGAGCAATAGAGTGTGTAACGTTGCTGTATTTAAAAAAAATGTAAAAATTCAGTCCAAAATTATTAGTGTGGTGCTCTCTTCAGGTAAAAACTATTCACTGTACATAGTTGAATCAGCCAAGGCTAGAAGATAAGAGGTACCATGTGATGTTAACCAGTTCTGTATTGTGTCAGCTGCATTGTCGCTGTGGGCTGTAAAGTTTCAAGCTAGGCCACTCCTCCATAGTAAGTTGGAGTAGGGATAGCAAAGCACCTCATGAGCCAGAGGTTTGAGACCATGTGGGTCAAAGCCTCTCACCTCCAAAACAAACTTTCCTCCCCTCCCTGTGTTCTCTGGTGAAGAAGGCAGGTAACACCTACATCTCGAATGATTGCATTGAAGCAAAGGAACCTGTTTTTTGCCTGTGAGAATCCAGAAGCAAATGGTATGTGGCTTGGTCATGGAGGCAAAAACTCGGCCGTAGGAGGCGTGTGGTGAAACCTTAGAGAAAGATTTTGATTTGGCTGCGATGAGATTATGGTCCACCATCTGGCATCTCAGGAGGGGAAAACTGTGCACTACCAACACTGTTTATAGTGGGGAAGGTGTACCATACCAACCATACCAACTTTATTTATAAAGCACATTTAGAAAAGGCATAGCAGCCGACCAAAGTGCTGCACAGAATAAAAAGTAAAAACACAATATAAAACAATACACGGTCAACAATAAAATGCACAACAAGGCAGATAATCATGGTCAATAAAAGACACATAATAAAATAATTAAAGTCAGGGATTTAAAAATGCCTGGTCGTAAAAGTGAGCCTTAGCAACTTGAACCAGAGACGGGATGTTGCCAGCCTCACTGAAAGAGGAAGCGCATTCCAGAGTGTCGGAGCAGCATAGACAAAAGCACGCTGCCCCCGCATTTTGCATTTCATTGATGGAACGAGAAGCAGCAGGCAATCCGCAGATGTCAACGCCCGGTTTGGCAAATAACGAGTCACAAGATCCGACAGGTAATCTGGAGCCAGACCGTTCAGGGCCTTAAAAACAAAAGTCAGGATTTTAAACTTGACTCTGAAGTTTACGGGTAGCCAGTGGAGCCGCGCCAGTACAGGTGTGATATGGTCTCTTCTAGGGGTGTTTGTTAAAAACCTGGCTGCTGCGTTCTGTACGACCTGAAGCCTGTTAAGAGCGGAGGCAGGTAAGCCAATTAAAATGGAATTTGCATAATCCAGTCGGGAAATGATAAAAGCATGAATTACAGATTCCAGGTGTGCTCCTTTCAAGATCGGTTTTAAGCGCAGCTTATAAAAACACGATCTGACCACTGCATTAATCTGACGGCCCATGGAAAAGTGTGTATCCAGTTTCACCCCCAGGTTGGTAACACACAGCTTGAGGTCATATGGGAGAGTGGCCAAATCAGAAGATACGTGTGTGGTTTTGTTAGGGGTCATCAGGAGTGCCTCAGAATTAGAATCATTCAGCTTAAGGAAATTGTTGGCAAGCCAAACCCTCACTTCAGCCAAACATTGGTCCAGAAGAGAGAAGGAGCCTGGTTTGTTCAAAGCCAGGTAGATCTGGCAATCATCTGCATAAATATTATAGCCCAGGCCATATTTCCTCAGGATACAGGTCAAGGGAATCCATCAGAAGCTGCTGTGAGATTAGTAGCTTGTCCTTTTTCCACCTTCTTTCCAGCGCCCTACAACGCCGCCTGAGACTGCGTGTTTCATTGTTCAGCCAAGGATCAGAGGTGGTTTTCTTCCGTTTAAGTTTAAGGGGAGCGACTGAGTCCAGGGCAACAGAACAAGTCAAATTAAAAGAATTTAAAAGCCCATTGACATCCGTGGTAAACTCAGATGAGGAAGGATTGGATAATTCAACCTCCAGGATGGACAGTACTAAGGCAGACGTGGAGGGAGAGATGTGCCTAGAGTAGCGAGGAGCCTGCCTTCTCACCACAGGCGCCATGGCAGAGATGTTAAAAACAACTGAAAAATGATCTGAGAAACTGACAGGATGAACAACCAAGTCCTGCACCTTCAGTCCAAATGATAAAACTAATTCCAGTGTGTGGGAGTGCTCATGAGTAGGAACATTGACCAGTTGCTGGAGACCAAATGAAACTAGATTATCTGAGAAATCTCTCACCAGAGGATTAGACAGACAACAAACGTGAATATTAAAATCACCAAGGATATTACCTTGGTCGTACCTGGGGAGATATGGGGAGACGGGTCAGAAAAGTCCGTAATAAAAGCAGAGTTATATTTTGGTGGTCGGTAACACAGAATAAAAATAATTGGAGGGGAGAGACTGAGTTCAAAAACAGAGACCTCAAAGCTGGTGGGGGGTGATGAGCCCGGGAGGCGCTTGAGGGGGAGGGAGGACATAGTCAATAGGCCCCCACCTCGACCCGACAGTCTGGGCTCATTCACAACAGAACAATTTGACGGACAAAGTTCAGCAAGTGTCGCCGACTCACCCGGTGGGACCCACGTCTCCGTCATGCAGAACAAAGTTAATCCATTATCGATAAAAAAATCCTTTAAAAGAACTGTTTTATTCCCCAGCGAACGAACATTTAGTAGAGCAATCCTGAGAGAAGACGAGGAAGTCGAGGACCTGCTGACCTCAACTTGGGACATTCTGGGTTGGCTGGCAGAATTCTTCAAAGACATCCTGAAATCAACCGGCACGTCTTCCAGTTGAATCTGGGGATTTTGGTTTGGGCACTCCAATCTCTGGGGTTGAGGTCACTGAGGTGGGCAGAAATCTCCTCGGTGGCAAGGCCCCAGATGTGGAAGAGATCCGCCCAGAGTTCCTCAAGGCTCTGGATGTTTTAGGGCTGTATTGACTGATGCGGCGCTGCAATATCACGTGGACATCATGGGCAGTTCCACTGGACTGACAGACTGGGGTGGCGGCCCCTCAAAAGGGGGACCACATGGTGTGTTCCAACTACAGGATGAGTCTCCCTCATTAAGTCTATTCAGGGGTTCTGGAAAGGAGGGTCCACTGGTTAATAGAAGCTGGTTTTAGAATGCTCACAATTCTGAGAGGTTTAACGATTGCTGGACATAAAATTTTATTTCTGATTCATTGTATAAAAAACACACATTTCACTAGATGATAAAGACGTAAAACGTATTTTGCTGTAGAATCACTGAGCAAGTGAATCTTAGACTGCACAAAACTACACCATGATCAAATCTATTAGTATTAGAATTTGTTTAAATGGCTTTTTGTTCATTTATTTTTCAGCAGTATTTTCTTTTTAATGCAACATTGGTTAGAAAAGAATCAAAAACTAATATTTTCATAATCTAATGTTTCTTATTTGTTTTATTTTTCAGTTTATTTATTCATTTATTTATTTTTTACATCAAATGACCTGGTCATTTATGTTTATCTGCTCAATGTTATCAGATTGTTTAGCCTAGGTAATAACTTTGACTTTCATTGTTTATTTCTCAGTAATATTTAATTAATTATATAAAATTGAGGGGAATGTCTGCATTAAGAATAGTTATTTTTTATTTTTGACAAAACACTGAAATACAAAAACTGGACTGAAAAAATGTTAAATACAGCACCCTATTCAGGCAAAATGAAGAACGTGATCTGCGTGGCCAAACATCCACTAGAGGGCAACTTTGCATCAGATTTAAAAGAAAACATGTGCCCAACATTCATTTAACACTTTCATGAATTAAATGTTCATCATTCCCCACATTACAAGGGAGATAGTTGCTTTAAATCAAGCCATGCAGAGTGGAAATTCAAGCAAAACAGAGAGTGTTTATATTTAATGGGACTCAAACAAGTCAACTTCAGACACCTAAATAATTCTCTCTGCAGCTACAATATAATCTTCTCTAAAGGGAAAACAGTGTTATGAGGTTTTGTGCTAGACAGCTGGAAAAGTAATTATAAGAGACTGAATGAGGATAACGCAACTTTGCTTTATCTGATGTGTTGCTGTGTGGTCAAACAGCAACAGTGAGACAAAAAATAAGAAGATGGCGGTAATGACAGAAGTAAATGACTTGATGTTTGAACGAAAACTAATATGGAAATGTTTTACAAATATGTAATTCAATACAATTTTATTTATATAACGCCAAATCACGACAAGAGTCATCTCAAGGCACTTCACATAATAAATGTTCCAATTCAGGTTGGTTCATTAAGCCAATCAGAAAAAATGTTTCCTATATAAGGAACCCAGCAAACTGCATCAAGTCACTGACTGGTGTCAGTGACTTTACAACAATCCTCATACTAAGCAAGCATAAAGTGACAGTGGAGAGGAAAACTCTCTTTTATGTTTATGTTTATGTTTATGTATTTAGCAGACGCTTTTGTCCAAAGCGACTTACAAGTGATAATCGGCATTTTTCCCTTGAGGCTAACAACAATAGTAACAACAACAAATTGACATCAGTCATGGAGAGGAGGGAACAAGGAGTGGACAGTAGAGAGGGGGGACGGGTGCAGGCAAGGTGCTAGTTAAGAAGATGCTCTCTGAAGAGCAGGGTCTTCAGGAGTTTCTTGAAAATAGAAAAGGAAGCCGCAGTTCTGGTAGTGTTAGAAAGGTCATTCCACATTTGTGGAACGATGCATGAGAAAAGTCTGGATTGTCCTGAGCGTGGTGTAGGCACTGCTAGCCGACAATCCTGTGATGACCGGAGCGGCCGGGCCGAGACGTAAGCCTTTGCAAGAGGATTCAGGTAGATGGGAGCCGTACCGTCTCGGACTTTGTATGCTAGTGTTAGCAATTTGAATTTGATGCATGCTGCTAGCGGTAGCCAGTGGAGCTCAATGAACAGAGGGGTGACGTGTGCTCTTTTAGGCTGATTGAAGACCAGACGCGCCGCTGCGTTCTGGA